TTCGCTCGCTCTATTTCCATCACTCGGGACAGATGGCAGGAAGTGGCAGTGGGCGTCGAGTCATGCAGGCCCTGAGGATTTGCTATGGGAAGGCTTCGCAGGGGGAGGGGGGAGCGCTCAGCTCTCCTCCCACCCCTGGGCATCAATAGATGCCAGCCAGGCAGCCTGCCTCCTGGATGGGAGGGGAGGTGAGACTGTCGTGAGCCCCTGCAGAACTCACACGTGCACACAGGCATGCATACACACTCACACACACACATGCCTGGGTGCTGCTCCACCCAGATCAGTGGAGCTGAGGAGGGGACCACTGGGTGGTCGCTGCCCTGCCTCTAATGCTGCCACCTCCGCTAGCACACTATCTCCTCACCTGCCCTTTGCTGCCCAGGCAATGAGGGCTTCTCACCAACCCAGGGGTGGACTTAAATTGCTCACGGATCGCACTGTCCCATTGGGGTGCCCTTCACAGGCTTGACTCAGTAACCCAAAAATGACAACACTGATGCTCGCACCATTTCCAGAGCTGTCGCTATGCACGGGGTCGGGGGAGGGGCACTATGCCAAGCGGGTTGGTGGAGGATCTTATTTACCAAGGAGGAAAACGAGGAGACCGTGGAACAGAGAAGCTAAATAACTTGCCTGAGGACACACAGCTACGGCGTGAGGGGCCTGGAACTGAGCCCAGAGGCACAGCCGTGTTACTTCCGCAGCGACGTTCGCTCTTGGCTGGCCCGTCAATTCCAAATGCTGGGGGTGGGCTCTGTGACAGGCCAGGGGGCATACAGGTATGTAGGGGCAGGGTGATGTGCACTACGGCCCCCCCAGCCCCCACGGCTCAGCACACGGCCCAACCTCAGGTGAGGGCCCGGCAGAGGCGATGAGCATGTCTGCGGCTGGGGAGGGGATGGACACCGCCCACGCTCACAGGCTGGGGCTAGTACTGCGGGCTCTGGAGTCACTGCCCAGAGCCCATCTTGAGGCAAGATCATTGTTTTATAGCCGCACCCCGTGGCATGCGGAATCTTAGTTCCCTTACCAAGGATAGAGCCCATGTGTGCTAAGTGGCTTCAGCCATGTCTGACTCTTTGCGGTGCTGTGGTCTGTAGCCCACCAGGCTCCTCTGGGATTCTCCAGGCAAGAATACTGGAGTGGGTTGTCCTGCCCTCCTCCAGGGGCTCTTCCAGACCCAGGGATCGAACCCACGTCTCTCGCATCTCCTGATCAGAGATCGAACCTGAGCCCCCTGCAGTGGAAGTTCAGAGTCTTAGCCACTGGAGCACCAGTGAAGTGCCGAGAGAGGATCTTCACACAGGGCCAGGCTGGACTGGTCACATGGCAGGGCAGCGGCCACAGGCCTCGGGTTGATCCCTTGCCTGCCTCGAAAGGCGTGTGCTGGGGGGCCAGGGAGGGCAGGGCAGCCGAAGAGGTAGAGGTGAGGCCGGCAAAGACCAGCAGATGCTCTGCCTGGCTGAGCACGGCACGGGTGTGGGCTGCCTGGCAGAGGGGAGCTCTGGGCAGAGACCTCAGGCTCAGAGTTGGGCCAGCTGGGGCGCTGGTACAGGCCCTTTCAGCCATCCTTCTCAGGTCAGCTCAGCTAACCCCACGCCCACCCCTCGCTCCGGGCCCGCAAGTCCCCTTGGCTTTCTCCCATCACGTGGATGCTCTGCGATGCTCCGGGATGTGGGCTGATCACAGCTGACAGATGCACCTGCCTGTTCCAGGGAAACATCAGTCAGCTGGAGATGGAGGAGGGGCTGCACAGTGACTCACTCCACACTGCACCCTCTTTTGCACTCTGTCTCCTTCCGGCCGGGGCTTCAGGGCCAGCAAAGGAAGGCGCGCCAAGTTCTTTCCCTTCTTTTCTCTTCGCCTTGGAAACCAGGGTTTCCCCTCTTCCTCACAGAGGCCACATTCAGGGCTGTGCAGATGCTCCTGGGCGGGGGATGGGGTGGGAGAGCAGACGGCCCCCCCAGCCTCTGCTGGCGAAGCAGCTCCCATGCTTACAGCAGATTTGGATAAGAAAAGGGCTCCTGGTGTCAAAACATTGGGGTCTTATCTTTTGGAGCCCCCAGAAAAGGGGATGTGGCTGGCTCAAGGTCACACGAATAATCCAGGAGACATGGTTGGGGTGGGGTCTGACCCGTGTGTACTCACTGAAGTATTCAGAGGGTGCAGTAGGCCACAACTCCATGAGGCGAGCCCCCCAACTGGGGTGGGGCATCTCCTCAGTTGCCTGGTTACAGACACATCCTCTCTCCCTGTAGCCTTCTCCCATGACATCCCTGTCCATCCCCCCAAGCCATAGGGAACTGAGCTTTGGAGTAAGACAGAGCAGGGTTCAAATTCCCGCTGTAACACTTTGTAGCTTGAAATCTAGGGCGGGCCTTAGTTTCCTCATCTGTAAAGTGGGTACAATACCAAGCACTACCTGGGGGGCCGCGTGGGGGTCCAGAGAGATAATCCAGGTACAGAGCCTGTTGGAAAGACCCTGGAGGGAGGAGTGGCTACTTCAGGGCTTCTGCCCTTCAGCCCTGGCCTTGTCCCAGCGAACAGTCAGAACCACTTTGCTCCCCATTTCAATTCAGCGTTGTGATTACTATACTTGGAAATAAGGGAAAAAATTAGGGACCACCTCCCACAAACTCCCTGCAAGAAGGCAGGAACCTGGGCAGGTAGAGGGTCCCAGTGGACATGCCAGGCCATGAAGACATCTCTCCCTGACGATCCAGGAGCAGAGCAAGGGTTCTGCTTGCTCCTTTTCCCTAAGAGCTCAGGGGGTTCAAGTCCTGGTCCTGTGCATGAGCTGCATGCCCATCCCGGTCACCCCCAACCCTGAGCATCGTGTCTGTAGAAGGGGGAGTGGCAGGGCCCACCCTCTCAGGACTTTGTGAGGATCCACAAATGACAGTGACAGGCGATGAGGATGGATGAGTCAGGCCACCTCCCAGCCTGAGCTCCAAACTGTAGCCCCTATTGCCACTAGTGGTGGTGGCGGTTTGGTCGCTAAGTCATGTCTGATTCTTGTGACCCCACAAACAGTATGCAGCCCCTCAGACTCCTCATCCATGGGATTCTCCAGGCAAGAATACTGGAGCAGGTTGTCATTTTCCTTCTCCAGGGAATCTTCCTGACCCAGGGATCAAACACGTGTCTCCTGCATCACAAGCAGATTCTTTACCACTGAGAGGAAGCTGATTTTTCATAATCTCCCTGCTGACCTTGGTGACAGTGGTGATCGCTGTCCCTGCCTGGCCCACAACTGAAGGTATGGGGCCCGCTCCAGTCTCCAGCCAGGCCAGCTGTAGGAAGGGCACTGGCAGGCACCGGGGACCCACTGGGGCCTGGCTGTGAGAGAGGGCAGGGGCCAGTGTGGGGTCACGATAACCAAGGGAAGGGCCAGATGCACTTGGAGGATGGGAACCACTCACCACACTCATCTGGCAGGGACAGTGCGTGACCTCCTGGCAGGCAGGGGTCAGCGGGGGAAAGGCGAGAGAAAGGGGATTGTCAGGTGGCTGGCGGACACAGCAGGCTGAATGCACACCTGCATGCAGCTTGACTCAGTCGAAAGCCCCACCTCTGCAGGTTCGGCAACCCGGCCAACTGTGGGCACAGCCACGGGTGTGGCCCATGGCATGTGCGCCTGTGACAAGACTCTGAGTTTCTCTGCCCCTGCCCCGTCTGCCTGGAGGTGGCGGGGGAGACTTAGGGCGACAGGGGGAGAAAAACACCTTTTCAACACTCCCTGCCGGCATGCTCGAAGGGTCTCATGTCAGCACCTCTGCCGATCCTCCTGACACCAGTGCGTGATGGAGCAGACAGCGCAGGGGCGGGTGGCCCGGGGTCAGCAGCCACAAGCCCACCCTGGACTGCTTGTCCTCATGTGACGGAGAGGTAGGAATCCATCTCAGGGGGGAAGGGCATGGAGTTGGGGGGGAGACTGGCAGATATCGACCCAATATCCATTCTTCCTTACTCACAAAACCCTGATTTTATTAGAGGGTTTTGAGGGTTTTTTTTGCCCTTCCTTCTTTCTACTTCCTGCAGCCTGTGTGTGTTGGCTGGAACTCCAGCAGCCATTCTGGACCTTAGGGTAACCTCTAGAATGGAAGCCAGTGAGACAGATGGAGCCTGAGTCCCTGTTGAGACAGATGGCACAGTCCCTGTGGGTCACAGGGCCTCCGTGCCAGCCCTCTATTACCTCCCTCTGGATTTCTGTGTGAGAAACGCAAGCAAATGTGTTCAAACCACTGTTATTTGGGTTGTTCTGTTACAAGCAGCCAAATCTAATCTTGGTGTTTCTTCTTCCCTCCAAAGCAAGACTGTCCCAAACATGTGGGGAGGTGGCGAAGCATCACAGATTTTCTGAGTGTTCACTGTCTTCTGGGAGGGGGAAGCTTATTCTCCTTTCCCTCATTGTTCTGCATTAATTATTCTTCATCCTTCCCCACTCCTTGACACCATCTCTTGAACTCTACTCCAGGCATTTCCCTTGCTTTCTCTCCCTCTCTCCAGCCTCCCAACAGCCCCAGAGTGGGAACTAGCCACATGTGTCCTTGTCAGCGGTCTTCTAGCCCTTCAGCAAGTGGATATTCATTAACTGCTTAGATGATTAAATGATGCACTCATTGACCAGCCTTCAAAGGTTAAGACACCGCCTCCCAGCATTCAGCCCGTTCCCCAGCGCTAATGAGTCGGAGGCTTGGGGTCAGCACTCTGGCAATCATCCCAGGGACTTAACTGAACCACATGGCTGACCCCAAGCTACTCCTCTGTCCAGCTTCTGTTCCACAAACACCTAAAGCCCTTGCCGTCTGAAGGGCGCCCCAGGAGCCTAGCCTCCCAGGCAGGACACCCCAATACTTACTTTTCCCACAGCGACCCTACAGGGGACAGCAGGGAATGGAGTCAAAGAGGCACAGCAAGGCTCCCTGGTCCAGGGAAAACCCCCGAAGCCCCCACTCCCCAGCCCTGGGCGAGCGCCCAGCCCCGCCAGAGCCTACCTTGGCCCGCTGCATCCTGGACAACCGCGAAAACTGTTGCCGGCTCCCCCGCCGGCTTCCCCTCCGCGCAGCCGAGGAGAACGGGACTGCCGGCCGCGCGGGCAGCTGCCTCATGTTTGCCGGGACCCCGACGCAATTGCTCCCGGCGGCTCCTCGCCCGCCCCCTGCGCACCCTCCCCGCCCGAGCGCCGCTGCCTAAGCTCCGCCCCTTCTGCTGTGAGTCGGTCCGCGCTCAGCCTCCCTCCGCGCGCACCTCGCTCCTTCGCGCTCTCTCATCTTTCCCGTCCCACTCCCGGTCTCCCTGCCCCACTCTCTGTGTAAACCGTTCCCAGGCCGGCTCTCCCTCCGGGCCGCCCCTCTGCCCCCGTCACCCGGGGTCTCTGTCTATGCCCACCCTCCATCCCATCTGTGTCTTTCTCTGACACGCTCTCCGCCCCCTAACCGTGGAAGGGGGAAGGTTGAGGGTGTGGAGAAGGCCCCGGCAGGGAATAGAGGAGCTCACACAAGCTCCTGCCCGACGGAGGGAAGGACAGCAGCGCAGCACGAGAACCTCCCAGAGCATCTTCCAGAACAGGCCAGCTCCTTCCGTCCTGGCTGCCCCCTCCCTCAGGCTACCAGTCCTTATGGACAACGGGTGGAGTGACCCCACCCCCTGCCTGTGAGCTTGGGCATTTGCAGTCAAGGTGGGCTTTGGAGAGGGCTCTCTCTGGTCTCCCTCCAGCAGCCCTGAAGGTGACCTCTGGGCACCCCCGGCATCCAGAGCACGCTCCTAGTGGGGACATAGTCCCCAGAACATAGCTCTGGGTGCTGGGCCCTCAATGGCCTCAGCGATGGGGACTCACCACCCAGAGATGGTGACGGCTACCAAGGCCACATCACGTGGGTCACAGGCCAGGGGGCCTTCAACCTGTTTCACCTGTGCCCCCCTCGCCTGTCTCCTTTCACCCCACGTGGGGACTTGCCATGGGGGGAGCTCTCCCCAAACCTGAACTCCTTATACTCTCCAGGGAGCCCAGCGTCTCTCCCTGCTGTCTGTATCTGAGGTCGGGACCACATCAGGGCAGCTGAGGGACCTGGCTGGACCTTCCGGGGGCAGATGTGGAGGAAAGGGGTGAGGGTCCCTGGACATCCTGGGGAGGGAGTCTCCTTCCTGCAGACTTCCTGCAGGAGGGTAGACTCCGGGGCATTTGCTCAGCCCCCAGGGGAAGCGCCCAGGAGCCAGATGCCCAAAACCTCAGCCAAGTTTCCCTTTTCTGCACCCCAGGAAGGAGCCAGCCTGTGCCACTGGTTCCCATGGAAACAGAGCCCTGAGCCACCCCCTCCTCTGTGTGCACTTGCACACCCGTCTCCATTTGTGTGTGTGTGTGTGTGTGTGTGTGTGTGTGTGTGTGTGTGTGTTTGCACCAGCCAATCAGCTCCAACTTTCAGGTTCTGGGAGGAAGAAAAGTCTGGAGCAGTTGACCCACTGAGGGAGGAGGAGTTTGGACTGCCTGGGCCTCACACCGGGGAGGGACTCAGTGGACCCAGAAGCTGGCCACGGCAGCGCCCTGGGCAGAAGTGAGTGCAGGCCCCCTGCAGCTGTCGGGTCGGGGCAGAGGCTGAGCTCCTTGACAGCCTGGAGACCTGGTGATCTCGGCTCTGAGCAGTTGGCCCCCTGCCAAGCACGTTGAGTCCCCACAGTGGCCTCGGCAGGAAAGTGTCATTATCTCTGTGGATGATGAAAGTGAGAACCAGCAAAGGTAGAGGATTTGCCCCAAGTCACTCAGTCGTGTCCAACTCTTTGCACCCCATGGACCGTAGCCCAGCAGGCTCCTCTGTCCATGGGATTCTCCAGGCGTGAATACTGGAGTGGGCTGCCATATCCCCCTCCAGGGGGTCTTCCTGACCCAGGGGTCAAACCCGTGTCTCTTATGTCTTCTGCATTGGCAGGCGGGTTCTTTACCATTGGTGCCACTGGGACCTAGAAAGTGACAAAGCTGGTACACAAAGCCCATTCCTTTCATCTCTAAGTGATGTACACGGTTAAGATCCTGTCGAACCTCCCATGCTGCACACATCAGCTTGGGAATGTGCCAGTCGTGCTGTCCAAGACAGACCTGGCCATAATTGTGGCCTAGTCAGCATGAGGCAGGACCAGAGAAGGCCCCCGTCCCCGCTCCTGGTTTGGGGTGAGGGCTGAACTTCCATTACCAGATATGCTTTCTTCTGAATTCACAAATTAATGAGCTTCAAGGAGCTCATCTTACGAAAAAACCCAAATGAGCTTTTTTAGCCAACCTAATACAACAAAACAGGGCAGCTGCCCACATGCCCCCCCCACACCACCACCAGTCCTCTACCACTTTGGGCCTGGAGAACCTCCAACCGTAGCTGCCACCAGGGTGTACCGCTCATAAAACACACATGATGCTGGCCTGCATGATCCGTGGCCCCCCATCTCTCTTTTCCCCAGCGCCCACAGGGGCTTTTCTAGAGCACTCTGAGCTGGTCCCGCCCAGGCCTGTGAGCGATGCAGGAATGAGAAAGGTTAGGAGAGTGTGGAGGTCAAGAACAGCCCGGAGCAGAGCTCCCCACATGGGCCTCAGCAAGCCTAGCAGTGGTATGGACATGTAGGCAGCGGCTAACTCTCCTTGTGAAAGTCTGGGAGTTTCTGGAGATTCTCTGGCAGTGCTTCAAACCCAAAAAAGGTTAAGGAAGACTGCAGAAGGGCCTCACTTTGTCAGCTGCAATCCTCAGCCTCATGGGTCTCAGCTGTACTTTCCCTTGTGCTGGGGGGCGATGAGCCCCAGGAGTTTGGAAGCAGGAAGGAATGGCCCCTTTCAAGCCTGGAAGAAGGTTGAGTAGCTTGCATTTGAGAGGAGGCAGTGGCAAGCCATCTGAACCAGCTGGGGGCTTCACTCTAATCCCATCTTGGTGAGGGCTCACACTGACCTACCCACAAGCCTTGGGAGTCTTCTGGACCTTCCTCTATTGTTGCAAACAATCCCCTTCACTTCCAGACCCAAGGCAGATTCTTCCTGCAATGCCGGAGACCTCGGTTCAGTCCCTGGGTCCAGAAGATCCCCGGAGAAGGAAATGGCAATCCAATGCAGTATTCTTGCCTGAAGAATTCTATGGACAGAGGAGCCTGGTGGGCTACAGTCCATGGGGCTGCAAAGAACTGGACATGACCGAGTGACAATACTTTCTTTCCAGATCCAACTTCAAACCCTTCCTCCTTGGTACTCCAAACCTGGTTTTATGGAGTCCTCACTCTGTATCTTTTTTCCAGATTCCTTTGAGCCCTGGTTCTGCTTACCCCTGGCTGAGGGGCACAGGAGACAGACAGTACAGTTTCAGGGTTTAGGTGCTTGCTCCACCAAGAGCCCCTACCGCGAGGAAAGCCTCTCTGGGTAGTGGTGGGTCTCCCCAGGCAGGTGGAGGCCCCTCCCCACAGGAGTTCAAGAAAAGTCTGTTGCCCTCAAACAGTGCTTCCCTGAAGGCCACAGCACCCAGGTGTCCCGTGAGTCGGCATAGCTGTGGCATTGTCTTACTTGTCTTTATTTGTCTTTCACTGCCTGGAAACCTCTTCTGCTGCCCGCCTTTCCGGGGCTGGATGGAAGCCCTGACAGACCTGAGATGATGCTCGGTAGGGAGATACAGTGGTTCACTTCATCTCATCAGACCGTCCCAGCTCCGGTCCAGGCCTCGGCCAACGCTAGCCGGAGTCTCTGCCCAGCTCCGGGGGCAGGGCACGGCTCCCCAGTGGATCCGTCCTGGGCGGTGCTCTGGGTTTGCCCAAGGTCAAAGGTCAGAAGCTATATGCCTGCTTCCTGGCCATCGCTGGGCACCTCCGCACCTTCCCCCTGGTGCCACGTGGTCCTCACACCTTCCCCCATACGTCATGTGGATCTCGGTAGGGGGGAGGCCAAGGAGACTCCACACCCCCAGGCAGACCATCTCCCCTCCGCTGGGGCCTGTGCACACTCCAGGCAGCCTCCACGCTGAGCCTCCCTCACACGGGTTCCTTGTCTGGCTCACGGGCCTCTCCTTGGCTCTGTGAGAGAGTGGCCAGCTTGTCTCTTGCTCTCTAGACCTTGAGGTGGGGCTGGGGCATCAGCTGGCTGGGTTCCTCAAACTGCAAGGCATCCTGGGAAGCCCTGAAGACAGGCTTTAAAAAACAAACTACCTTTGGCTGTGCTGGGTCTTCGTTGCTGCACAGGGTTCTCTGACTGTGGCGAGCAGGGGCCACTCTGGTTGCAGTGACGGGCTTCTCGCTGCGGTGGCTTCTCTTGTTGTGGAGCGTGGGCGCCAGGCATTCAGGCTTCAGTAGCTGCAGCTCAAAGGCTTGGTAGCCGTGGTGCACAGGCTTAGTTACTCCTCCGCTTGTGAAATCTTCCAAGACCCGGGATCGAGCCAGGCTCCTGCTCTGGCAGGATTCGTATCCACTGAGCCACCAAGGAAGCCCTGAAGGTTTCCTTTAAAGCCCCTTCCTTCTGGCTTGATGTGAAGGGAGGGCTCCCCCATTGTGTTCAGCTCGCCACCCCCTAAAACTCCCCCTCAACCTCAAAGCCTGACTCCTGGGTACCCCTAGTGTGGGGAGGGTTCAGGCTATTGAAATTCTGCATCACTGCTGGGCAAAGGTTGGGGCCGGGTGGGGTTATCTCTGCGTGCACCGCATCTTCCCCTCGCTGGGTATTGCGGTGCTGTTTGTAAGGGGGGGGACTGTTACCTGCTCCAGGAGTGGCGCATCCTGGAAGTGCAGGAAGCATTAGGGGCCACAGAGAAGGGGCTTCCTGCCAGCAGCACGGTGTCACCTGAGTTATAAACAGCCACCATTATCAGTTGTTTCTTTGGGGTAAGTTGTGTCCTTTCTACTCAGCCCACATCCAGCCCTGTGCCTCAGTTTTCTCAGCCATGAACAGGTGATAATAAGTGTCTACAGCTCTTAAAGGGCTTCCCTGGTGGCTCAGCAGCAAAGAATCTGCCCGCCAAAGCAGGAGACTTGGGTTCGATCCCTGGGTCAGGAAGATCCCCTGAGGAAAGAAATGGCAACCCACTCCAGTATTCTTGCCTGGGAAATCCCATGGACCCAAGAGTGTTAGCCTATTAACAATGTTGTGATAGTTTCAGGTGGAGAGCGAAGGGACTCAGCCACACCTACACAAGTCTCCATTCTCTCCCAAACTCCCCTCTCATCCAGGCTGCCACGTAAGTTGAGCAGAGTTCCTTGTGCTGCATAGTAGGTCCTTGTTGGTTATCCATTTTAAATATAGCAGTGTGTAATGGCCATCCCAAACTATCTTTACCCCGTTCTTCGCCCCCGGTTCTCTGTCTGTGAGTGTTTCTGTTCTGTAAGCAAGCTCATTTGTGTCTGAAATGAGATGGTGAGACAGCATCACCGACTCAATGGACATGAACTTGAGCAACCTCCCAGGGACAGCGGAGGACACAGGAGCCTGGTGTGCTGCGGGCCATGGGATACACACTCTGTATCTCCCTACAGAGTGACTTAACAACAACAATCTCTGAGTCGTCCCTGAGAAATGCTTAGCACACTTCCTCGTTTATATTCAGAACCCAATAAATGAAACTGTCCCCTCAGGTAGCCTCAGCGGGCCCCTGGCCATCTGACTCTTCTTTGCACACCTGGAGCCAAGCAGAACTACCCTGGCCAGCCACCTGGGGCCTGGCCCATGTGGCATTTCTCTGGCAGAATCCACCACCTGTGGCTCATGGCCTGTGCTCTGGGGTGGCCAGGCTGGCAGAACTCCCAGGGCCTCCCATCTGTCATCTCTTCTGCCACAGTGACAGCAAGGACACGTGGATCACATCTCCTTGGAGACGGGCCTCCCTCCCATCCACCCACAGGGAACGTGGGCTGGCAGCGTGCCCAGGAGGAAACCTCCAGGGCCACCAGGGTCAGGGCATGTGAATCCAAGTCCTGGCGGGACTTCAGCTTATGGGACCTTGACTCAGCCACAGAGTTTCTCAGAGCTTCACCTGCTCAACAGTGAAACAAGGATGACACTCTGCCCGCTTTGGGTAATGTCGTGAGAACAGATGAGACTGCAGACCTCGAAGGGGCTTTGTTTACACATAAAGGATGAGCAGTTTAGGATCCCAGCATTTTAAAAACTGGGAAAACATGTAGTTCATTTCTCCCCGTGGCTATTTCTTCACCTGCTGAGCACCACCCTCACCCGCAGCTTATCAGAGCCTACAGGTGATGCTCCCTGAACTGAGCTCCTTTGAAAGTCCATGTTCAGTGCACTAGGCCAAGGTTTCTAGATACTAAGTTCAATGAATGGCAGCCTTTCCCAATTCACAGGGGAAAAATCAGCTAGTTTTTTAGGGCTATTAGTTCTGATCACGTTGGACTAGGTAACTTGGACTAAATTGCCAACTGAGGACAACTAAAAGCTGCTCAAAAAATATTTTTTGAAAGTTTGATTCAGGGGTGAGTGCTCAGTTGCTTCAGGTATATTCAACTCTTTGTGACCCCATGGACTGTAGCCTGCTGGGCTCCTCTGTCCATGCGAGTCTCCAGGCAAGAAGGCTGGAGTGGGTTGCCATGCCCTCCTCCAGGGGATCTTCCTTATTCAGGGATCGAAACCAAGTCTCTTGTCTGCTGCATTGGCAGATGGGTTATCACTGGCACTACCTGGGAAGCCCTTGATTCAGGGGTACCAGGGAGCAAACAAGGCAGTAAAAAGCCACAGGACCAAGATCTGGAAAAAGAAAGAAACCCAGAGACATCTGGGGCTACTTTCTCCCTAAAGGATCTGGTGATGCAACAAAGATGCTGAGCGGAGCTGTTGACAGCCTCTGGATCTAAGGAGGTCAAAACTGGGGCCACCAAGAGCAGAGGGGTTGCCTAAAAAATCCTTCATGCTTTAGGTTGAGACCCTGGATGGTTTCATCCCCAAAGTATGAATGAACTGGAAACAGACAAGTGCTCCAAGGCACTGCAAATCATCTCAGTCCCTGAAAGCCAATTAAAACAACTTGCTTTGCAAGTTGTTGGATCACAAGCCATCTGTCCAATGTACACATAATCCTCATGGAGCAAGTTAACCTCATTCTGCCTCAAATTAGTTCTATAGATTTACAGATAAAATATGTGGCACTTACTTTTTTCCAAGTAGGAAAGGAGACAGTACTAACAAAAACCAAGAGAAACAATAGACAATAGAAATAGGCTCACAGAGGCTCCTTATTAGGGAGTTACTGAACTTAAACTATACCTAGTTTGGTCAAATATATAAAAGACAGGCAATATTGATAGAGAACTAGAAATTATTTTTTAATCATTTTCTATTTTTATCCCATCAATTTCATTCTTAAAATGCAAGGTGCTACAGTTCCCTATGCAGGACAACAGATGAAAAGCAAGCCAAGAATTGTTCTGGGAAAAGCCAAAAAGAGGCAACTGTGCCACATTTAAGGATGCTAGTCTGAGAGTGTGTTGGCAGTAGTGAAAATGGGAACACCATCCCAATTTCTAGTAGCAATTTGTTGCTGGTTTGTAAGATGCAATTAAAAATAAACACCCCCTGGAAACTCAGTAGATTCTTATCTTACAGGGCTTTGCTCCTCTGAGCAGGAACCTGTCTCCCTCTTCGCTTGTATCTGCCCAGACCCAGCTCTGCCCCGGCCCAGAGTAGTCATGGCAAAAAAAAAAAAAAGAGAAATAGCAGCATTTGAGCACTTGTCTTGTGCCAGTCCCCTGCCAAGGTGTTTGCACACATTGTTACATTATTTACAACCCTGTGAGATGGCTATGGCTCTTTTCCCATTTTACAGGTGGAAAAACTGAGGTCTGGAGGACCCATGGATCATGTTCAAGGTACCCTGGTCACCATACACTAGAGCCCAGAGTGAAGCCAGGTCTGACTGCTCCCAGAGTGGGCCCCACCCCCACCTGCTCATTGTTGGGGTGACCCCTGGATGCCTGTGGTCAGAGGAGGCCTTGAAGTTCCCTCTCCACACTCATTGAACACCAACCACATCCAGGGCCCCAGCCTGGGAGAGCTAAAAGACCCAAGGCCAAGGCTTAGCCAAGTGAAAACACTTTAATGGATTTGAGGTCCTGTCCACTTCCTGTTCTCTCTCTTCCTCTTCCCCACTTCCAGAACTCAGGATCTGACACAAAGATGGAGATGGGATGACACCCGGCCACACGCATGGGACTGAAGGAGTAAGGGCCATCGTGCAAAATCCTGTTGTGGCCACCAGATCTCTCCAGGAAAAGCTGGGTAGCTGTCAAAGAGGCTACTTTCTGGGGTGCCAAGAGTGAGCCCCCACTGCAGCCCACACCCTAGGTCCCTTCCTAGGAAGCCAGTGCTCAGAGAAGGCAGAGGGGTAGCAGCATAATTCCCAGCCCAAGGTGCAGGCTGGCGCTCAGCCTTCACATGGGCCTCCTGCACCCCCAGGGGCCAGAAATCCAGGCTGGGGTCAGTGGAGGGATGGTCCCAGGGCCCTAGGAATGGAGGGCTCAGGGGCCATGAGGTAGAGCCTGCAGCTGGCCCAGCCTTGCTCAGTGGCTTTACCTGATCAGTGTGGTTGGGCAGGAGGGGTCTCGGGGTCAGCAGGTAGTGGGATAAGGTAAAGAGGGGGCACAGGAGGAAAGGGCTTCCCAAGGGAAGGAAGTGAGGGCCAGGGAGGGAACAGAGCAAAGAGGGCAAGTGGGGGGCCAGAGGAGAGGAGGGAAGTGAGCAAGGAGCTTGGAAGGGGCATGGGACAGCACGGGGTTGGGCAGGGTCTCCCCACCAGGGACTGAGGCGGTGGGGGGCTTCCTCTAGGTGGACAACAGGCTCTTCCTGGTGCTGATATATTGCAGGGAGGAGGAGAAGGGAGACACCTGGGGGATTCTGTTGGCTCTGAAGTTCAAAAGAAGCTAAGTGTGTTTTTGAAAGTGAATGAATGAAGGGGTCATGAGCAGAAAGTGGCGTGCAAAGGGATTAGCAAGAGGGTGTCTGGTAACTGGAGACAGGGGACAACCCAGGCCTGGATGCCAGCCTGGGCTCTGGCAACAAAAGTGACAGAAGTCCTCTGGTCCCAGCCAAGTCTGTGCGGAGGCAGGCAGCCCTGTGCATCATCTTGCGGCCATATCTGTGCTGTGGATAGATAAGAACCAAAGCGGGGAGGGCGAGGAGGTGGGAGGGGAAGAGCCGACCTCAGGCCTGTCCATCCCGGCCACATCCCAGAACCTTCCTCCTGGGCCCTGGGGACCCCAGACCCCAACCCTTCCCTTCCCTTCCTGCCCCTACCCGAGGCACCAAGGAATTACAGGCTTGGGAAAACTCACTCACTGGGGTCCTAGAGCTTCAGGGAGGTGACCCGGGGGATGTGGAAGAGCTGCGTCTCCTCTGAGCTGGTGGAGCTACAGCATTGTCACAGGGCTGAGTGTGTGAGCCCCCAGGCCCAGACCCTCAGCCCCGACACAGGAACAAGCCCAGAGCCCAGAAGAGCAGAGTTCCCCAAAGCTATGAACAGTGGGTGTGTTGCAGCAAGAAGCCTTCGGGGCAGACACATGGAACAACTTTCTGGCCCCGGAGGCCCTCAGAGCATATGACTCTTCGGGGTTAGGCACAGGCTTCCCTGGCCTGGAGGGGTGTGTGTCTCAAGAAGTCGGGGTGGGGGCAGCAGGGGGCCGGGAAGGGCTCCTTCCTCAGCCCCTGGCCCCACCCCTAGTCCTAGCAGCCTCCTCACCTGAGGCGTTTCCGAATGGGATGGAAGTACTTGGAGGTCTTGACAGCAAAGACGATGCTGGGGATCAGGAAGAAGGTGCACCACCCCAGGCAGAACCAGAAGGCGTTCTGGGACAGAGGATGTGGGGTCAGCATGCTGTACTGGGCAGCAGTACACCCACTGACACCCCCAGCACCCCACTGACTCAAAGAGGGGCACGGGGATGCGACCTCAGGCCCGAGGGGAAGGACCGGGGTGTAGGCGCATGGTGCCCCCCCCCCCCCCCGGCAGCCTCCCCGTCCAGGAGCCCTGAGAGCTGGGGCAGGGCGCTCACCCAGGGGTCAGCCACCATGTCACACAGGATCACACGGCCATTGTCCAGGGCTCCAGAGAGGGGCTGGCAGGTGGCAATGCGCCGAGTCACCTGCAGTGTCAACATGAGGCAGGTACATGCCGGCAAACCCAGACCCACGGGTGTCCAGAGAGAGGCTGACAGGGACGCGGGACGGGCAATGAGGACCTGCTGACGTCGGCCTGTCGCTCACCTGCTGCACTTCCCACCCCACTCACCAGCCTGTGTCAAGCCCCTGCTGGGTGCCCAGAGATGTCCTCCAAGTCACTCACACTGGAAGGCAACACATGTGCACACGCACAGTGCACTGCACACGTTCATACCCACACACGCATACAGACACACTCAGGGCTAAGCAAGACCCTCAGCCCAGTGTGAGCAGCAGACTGCCTGCAGAAGCTGTGGTCAGCAAGGGCCCCCGGAAGGAGGTGGACCCTGAGGGCTGCGCCAGCCTCAGACAGGCTAGCGAGGGGACCAGGATGAGGAAGGGCAGGGGGCCGAAGACAGCGTGTCCTAGAGAGCGACGCTGGCCAGTCCCAGCCCGGCCATGCTCGGGCCTCAGAGAAGGGATGTGGCAGAGGTTGGGGGTGGGCAGAACTCAGCATCCAGACACCAGGTTTGGGAGTTTGGGCCCAGGGCACCCCCAGGGGCTCTCGGGGGCAGAGGAAGGGAAATAGATGGGAGCTTGCCTGAGGCCAGGAGGGTCTGCACACCCACTCACCTCCTCTCTCACCCAGGCCGTGTACTGGGAGAAGTAGCTCATTTCCCGCATCAGGAAACACTCACTTTCCTGCAAGGAAGAGAGGAGTCCTGGGCTGGTAAGAGCCCCGAGGCCAGCAGCCCTGTCCCCCATGCCTGGCACCGTCAGGACAGGCTGAGCTGCCTTTCCTGGGAGCCCCCTGGTGAGGGAGCAGGGCTGGAGAACCCCAGGGCGTAAGGCCCTGCGCCTTAAGCACTCAGCTCCCCTCCAACTCTGAGGCTGCCCGCTGTCCCTGCCCCACACCCCTCACTCACATTCCTCAGGATGTGGGTGGCCCGGGTTGGCAGCTCGCCTTTCAGGTAAGTGACTCTGTCCAGGACGCCTATGATCTCTGACTGTGGGAGAGGAGAGAGGGTCCGTCAGGGCACGGCCACTCATTCACTTGTCCATCCGTTAACTCAGCAAACGACACACAACACACTCAACTTGGGAGCGGGGATGTTAGGCCCCAAGGACACAGAGGCCATATATGGTGGTCCCCAGGCGTCTGCCCACCCAGCCTCGTGTCCTCCCACCCCACCCTCCACCTCCACTCGGATAGATCAGAGCAGGCAAGGTTTTGAGTCAGCTGAACCCCCATGTCCTGCCTCCCGCTACTGCCCACCTGCCCCTCCTCAGCCTCCCCAGCCCTCCCTGGCGGCCACCTGGAGGTGTGGGGCAGAGGATGCCAGTGCCTGGACACTGAGGTTGAGTTTAGCCTGTGAAAGAGAGATCAGGGCTGGTTACGGGGAGGAGGCGTAGGAGGGAGGGTTCACAGCACCCCCCCTCCTCTTCCACGCCCCCTCTCTGCCTCTCCTCTCCAGGTCCCCAGCAACCTGAGCATCCAGACGTACCACAAGGTTCTGCTGCGGGAGGACCTTCTCCTGATGGAGGTGCTGGAGGCCTCGGGCCTCGTCCTGCAGCTTCTGCCTCAGCGTAGCATTGCCCTGAGGGGAGGCAGGTCAGAATGGCACTCTGCCCAGGCCAAGACAGCCTCTGCCAACATACCCTTCACCAAACTGCTCAACAAGACTCACTGCAGGGCACGGAAAGTGCTGGAACCAGAGGTTGGGCTCAGGGGCAGGAAGCTCGTGGGCCACATCTGGGTTTGGGGGCCTACCTGAGCCCAGGTTCCAAGTTCGGCCCTCCCTTGCTCTGCCCACCATGGGGGAGCGGGGAGAGCTGTCTGTGAGATGTCTCGAAGAGAACTTTTTAAACTCTCAATATTTATAAAGACAAAGTATTCTTTTTTCCAGTAGATTTTAAGCTTCTAGAGACAACTGTGATGACATCTGATCCCACTGTCCTCGGAGCATCTGATCCTGCGGATGCTACAAGCCATGTGCACCTAGTAATGCCTGCCCAGCTGTGTGATGTCAGACATCGGACAGCATCTGATCTGAGGTGGGGGATAATCTACTTTAGAGATGAAGGCCCAGAGATGTAGAAAGATTTGCCCAAGGCCCCACAGCCAATTGGTGGTAGAGTTTGAGTCAGAACTGACTCTACAAAACTGACCCTTCATCCCAGTGAGGGGCCCAGGGTCTCAGCCCTCGGTGGTGGACCCTACAAAACTGACCCTTCACCCCAGTGAGGGGCCGAGGGTCTCAGCCCTCGGTGGTGGGGCCTACAAAACTGACCCTTGGTCCCAGTGTGGGGCCCAGGGTCTCAGCCCTCGGTGGTGGGGCCTACAAAACTGACCCTTCGTCCCAGTGAGGGGCCCAGGGTCTCAGCCCTTGGTGGTGGGGCCCTCAATCCCCTGCCTTTGCCCTCATGCCATCCCCAATTCATAAGAGACACGGGTTCAGTCCCTGGGTTGGGAAGATCCCCTGGAGGATGGCATGGCAACCCACTCCACTACTTTTGCCTGGAAAATTCCACAGATGGAGGAGCCTGGCAGGCTACAGTCCATGGGGTCACCAAGAGTCGGACACGACTGAGCGACTTCACACACACACACACCTCCCCAGGTCAGGCACTCTGCCCAGCCCTCTCCCTGGCTTCTGTCTCCAGCCGGCCCAGCAGGGTCGCGGCTCCCTTCTCACTTGGGTCTGCGACAGTCCCTCCAGCTCCTGGGCCAGCTTCTCCACATCGCTATTCACCACTGGCTTCTCGATCTAGAGATAAGACAGGAGAGGCCGAGAAGGGATGAGCCCCGGCTCCCCAATCCTAGAATTCCCATTATTTTCGAAAGTACCCACACCAGCTAAGTCTACTGCAACAACACATCAGTCACAATGGGTTTGACCTGAGATTGTGAAATATATGAGACATTTTCCATTAGAAAAGAAAAAAAAAAAAGTGAGGCACCCTCTGGTGTAACCCAACGGAGAGGCAACATCCCACGAGCCTTTGTAACAGCAGTGGGTTCAGGACCATGGACAGAGACAGCTGTGGTTGGGTGGGGCGCATTCACTCACACCCCCCCCCCCCGACGCCCCCGGCCCTGGGGGGGTGGGGGTGGCACTCTGGGGCACAGGGTCTGGGGACATCCCCAACAGAAGAGGCCCCAGGGAAGTCAAGGGAGAGCAGATGGCCCAGATGAGGTGAGACGGTACCCCACCCCTACCTCCTCTGTAGGCCCCTCTGATCTACCAAGGCCTGGCCTGAGATGCCCACTGCTGACCTCGACAAGGAAGCCAGGGTAGTGGATGTTCTCGAGCCCACTGCTCTGCAGAGCCTCCAGGTCCCGGCGGGCGGCGGGGCTCAGCAGGTCCAGATTCTGCACGTCCACTTTGAGCTTCTGCAACTCCTGCTGCAGCTTGACGGTGTACTGGGAGGGAGCGGGCAGGCTGGGGCCGTGCTCGGTGGCTGAGCCAGGACCCCAAAGCTGCTATCCTAGGTGAGGAACCCCTCAAGGCCTTCCTTCTGTATATCGAGGACACTGCCAGCCCCAGACATGGTCCTTGCAAGTCTCTGCTCCCCACTCTCCCCATCCCCAACTCTAACTCACCCACCAAGATTCAGCTCTCCTCCAGCACCTGTCTGGCTATGGGACAGCAACACAGACCTTCCAAGGTCACCCAGTAGAAACAGCTTCCTTAGCCCATCTTTATTATGTCACCTTGTATTAAGGTCTTCATAGCATGCTATTTACTTATTTAACACATAGTATGCTGTGTGCTTTGGGCTTCCCTGGTGGCTCAGAGAATAAGGAATCTGCCTGCAATGCAGGAGACCCAGGTTTAATCCCTGAATAGGGAAGATCCCCTGGAGAAGGGAATGGCTACCCACTTCAGTATTCTTGCCTGGAGAATTCCATGGACAGAGGAGCCTGGCAGGCTCTAGGGTTGCAAAGAGTTGGGCATGGCTGAGCAACTAACACACACATGCTATGTGCTTTATTATATCACCAAGGATGCTATTTACTTATGTGGGTACTTGTTTATTGCCATCAGCCCCATGAGAATGGCATCTTGTCTGCTCAACTCCGTACCAAACCAGCAGTGTCCACAGCAGAGGTTCACACATGACAGGTTCAGTACAAGCTTCTTGAATGGGTGAAAATGAATGAATGCACAAATGAATGGACACAGCATTTCTAAGATTTGTTGTTGTTCAGTTGCTCAGTGGTGTCTGACTCTTTGCGACTCATTGCTCATGGACTGCAGCACACCAGGCTTCCCTGTCCTTCACTATCTCCTGGAAGTTGCTCAAACCCATGTCCATTGAGTCGATGATGCCATCCAACCATCTTATCCTCTGTCGCCCCCTTCTCTTCTTGCCCTCAATCTTTCCCAGCATCAGGGCCTTTTGCAATGAGTCGGCTCTTCACATCAGGTGGCCAAATTATTTCTAAGATAGGGCAGTTTAAAAAGGGATTCGACATTTTCCAACCATTGCTGGGACAGATTTAAAGGGCATGAAATTCAGCCCCAAGTTTCACAGATGAGGAGCTGAAGCCAGGAGGGGCGTCAGAGGATGCAGCTCAGCCTATCTCTCCCCATCCCCCACACTGCCTTCCTCAGGGGAGCAAAGGCCCATCCTCTCAGAGGCCAGAACCTTAGAGGTTTTAGGCATCAGTAACAGACAGGGACACGTGTCTCCAGATGGGCAGAGCCCTCCTGGGGCCCAGGAAGGCACACCTTGTCTTACTTATGTCTGCATCATCAGCTCACTATTACCTCCTTTGAGGACAAGTTCTGCTAAGGTCATATTTGGAATGTTGTCAGATGGCCCCCGAGGACTGCTCAGGCCCTCTGCACCTGCAGCTCTGCTATGACTTGGACCCCTTCCCTGGACCGGGGCTGAGAGCGCCCCCTCCTTCCGGTCAGCGGCGCGCAGGGCCCCGTCTCAGCGCCCAGGCCCCTCACAGAAGCCCTCCCTGGCCAGCTTTCAGCCTGCGGCCTCCCACCAGGACAGAGTCTGCTCAGACGACCTCCCATCTGATTAGAGATGCTGAGGGGAGAGGTGGCCACAGTGTGAGGGAAACTGCCCCAGGGTTATACAGTTTAAGACATGGAGTTGGGACTGAAAATCTGGACCACTTGGCTATGCTATGCTGTGGGCTAGGAATGGATGGTGCATTCAAAAGGAGTTGGAAGGGGACTTCGCTGGCAGTCCAGTGATTAAGACTCTGCACTCCGCATGCAGGGGGCACAGGTTTGATCCCTGGTTGAGGAACTAAGATCCCGCATGCCCCCTAGTATTGCCTAAAAATAAATGCATAAAAATAAAGCAACCACAATGAAAATGCCATGAAAAAAAATAAAAAGGGCAGAAATTGCAAGTAGATACTTAAACAAATATTTTTTAAAAAGGAGTTGGAAGGATTCTGAAGAGGATGCAGAATCAGGAGTTAGCATCTTAGGAGGAGTGGAGGGAGGGCAGGAGGGGAATTTTTAGTCTCTGTGCACCCTTGGGAGAATCACATTCACAAAGCATGTCTCCTCTCATGAAGTAGATTTTCCTTCTCTTTGTTCTAGAACTGTCTCTTTCCAGTGTGAATAAGTTTCTCCAGTTCTACACACCAAGTTCTGGCAAAGTCCAATGGTTAGGGAACATGCTGGTGGGGGGTCAAATCCTGACATCACCTATGGGCTCTGTAAGCTCAGGAGGGGGATTGTGGGGAGCCCCGCTCTAGTGGGACCCAACGTCATCACCACCATTTTCACTGTCACACACCGCCCCCCCCCCCCAACCCTCCCCACTCCCAACTGGAGCATCGCAGCCAATGCCTGTCCCGGGTCAGGACACACACCCGAGTCCTCTGCCTCACTGTCACCACCCTGTCGGCGGCGTTCAGTCTTCCTGGGAGCACAGCACTCTGAGCTGATCACAGCCTCCAGGCACTCATGCACCCACCCACACACTCTGGAGCCCACGCCTTCCCTGGGCTTTAGCCCTGGGCCATGCCCTGAGCTTGCACCTGGCTCTTCTGCCCCAGAGGCACCTCCATCGCTCTTGGGGACTTCTCAGGTTGAAGGAGAAGTTTCCTCCATAAAGGCAGGACCAAAAGAGAGGGGACCTGTAGGAGAGGGGGTCCCACTGTGCTCCAGAAGGTTGTCTCACCTGGCTGATATCCAGGTGCTTCTCCAGGTCATAGGAGTCATTGAGCCGAAGGACAGTCCAGAGTGCAGCCCCTTGCTTGCACTGCCTGGGGATGGACATGGGAGGTGAGAGAAGGGAGGGCAGGTGAGTCATCCTAACGGGACACCCACCTTGGTGCCTCCTCACACCCCACCCCAGCCCAGGCTGCCCACTCACTCATAGGCCAGGAGGATGCTGAGGTTCCTCTTCAGGCCAAGAAGTTGGGACAAGTTCATGGATGGTGGCAAGCTCCCTGGAGTGTCTACAAACTGGGGATGGGGCAGGAGGGAATGGGCATGGAGCAGGGAGTAGGGGACAGGGCCGCCCCAGCTTCCCAGGGCCTGGCCCCCTGCCGCCCTGGCACAGCAGAGAATACACCCCTGTGACTTCAGCCCACACCTGCCTCTATCTCCAGTCACTCTTGGGCCCTAAATCCTGGCAGGGACTCCCTCCAAGAATCTCTAGGTGGGTGGCCAGCCTGCTCTTCCTTAGTGTTAGGAAACAGAGGGGCTCATGCCTGGGTGCCATCCCTCGCGGCCCCTGCCTGGGGCCTGGGCAGCCGCCCAGGGACTCTGGCTCTTTGCTCTTACTCCTTATTTACTGGTGAATTTCCGCCTCTCTTCTTAGCCGTCTCCATCATCCTTCCTGTCCCTTTCACCCTCTGGCCCCCTCTGGCTCCAAACTTCCTTCTGAACCTCCAGCTCTACCCGCGTCTCTCTCCATGTCCCTCTGGGCCCGAGGGCTAGGTAAGCCCACCTCGTACAGCTCTCCGCTCTCCCAGCTCTGGCACACCAGCGTCTGCACGTTGCCGCCCACCAAGAAGGTGGAGAAGACGAGGAGGATGAGGGGCACAGCCAAGAGGAAGCTGAAGCCCACGCCCCTGAGGAAGGTGGGGGACACGGTTGAGACGGGCTGAGCGGGGAGGATGCCCTGGACCGTGCTCTCCATCCCCATTCTGCCTCCCGGGGCCACCTTGGTCAGTGAGCTGGCCCCAGGGCAGAGCCCTCTGGGAGAGGACCTCAGAGGACGCAGCCTCCAGGGCAGCAGGAAGGACTCAGAACTGGTGACTGCCCCACCTCGTCCCGCCCCATCCCCACTCCATGCCCTGGCTGGCAGCCTAGAGAGGGCAGCTGTTTTGCTCAAAGAACCAGGGCTTCAGGACGAGGGGGACACATGTATACCTACGGCTGATTCATGTTGATGTATGGCAAAAACCATCACAATACTGTAATTATCTTCCAATTAAAATAAATTCATTAATTTTTTAGAAAAAGAGCCAGGGCTCCTGGTCTCTGGGCCTTGGGCACTTCCAGGTGGCCAGTTCCTGGCTCAGCCTCAACATAGCTACCTGGCATGGCCAGCCAGGACTCACCCACGGCTCACCAGCAGAGGCAGCCACCTATAGCATCTAAGTAGGACCCCTACACCATCCAGAGCTTCTTTATGAGGTAGGGACGGCTCCACGCCAGGGTTTGAACCTTGGGGAGTGAAACGCAGGCTGGATTTCACTCACCCCTTGGGCCAGGCCCCTTTATGCAGTGCCCAGCCTGCAAAATTGAATGTGGCAGCCCTGGCCTTAGAGATGATCTAGTTCAGGGATGGCAAACAGAGTCTACCTCTGGTGCCACCTGCTAATGGCTGGACACTGGGTAAAGATGGATTCTGAGGCTCAGAGAGAAAAGTGCCCATTGATTATTATAGTTAGTAAAGTTGCCATTTCCTTCTCCAGGGGATCCTCCCAACCCAGGGATAGAACGCTCATCTCTTGCATTGGCAGGCAGACTCTTTACTGCTGAGTCACCATTATTCACCTGGGCTGAGAGAGAAAGGCACCCATCAATTACTGTAGTTGCCACCAGTGGGGAAGGGGAAGTGCTTCTTTGCCATTCCTGCTGTAGGCCAACCCTTTTATACAAAGGACAGTGAAGCCCAGTTGGGTTATAATTCACCCAGGGCCATGCAACAAGTTGGCCCAGAGCCAGACCAGAGCTCGGTCTCTTGATCCCCAGGACCGGCTCCTGTAGTCACACTAGGAGCATGAGAAGAATGTGCCAGCCCGGTGGGCAGAGACACTTCCCGTCTCCCCCAGCCTTTCTTACACCATGAGGAAGTGGGCTCCGGCTTCACCCTTGGCTTCCGAGTGGCTGGGGTCCTCTCTGGCAGATAGCCCCCAGATGCCCAGATTGAGGCCCAGCAGGTTACAGACCACCACGAGCAGGACCACCGAGCACAGCACGCAACCTGCAATCCACCTGCCGAGGAGGAGGTGGGCGTCAGGGAAACAGGCAGGGGCTGACTGAGGACCTACTGGCTGGGGGAGGTGCCTAACCCTGAGGCTGGAGCTTTACAAGTGACTGCCTATAGGGTCCTCAGGCTCAGATCCCCAGGGCACACAGCTAGGTCGGGGGCGTGGAGGCCCAATGAGTAAGGAGTCTTGGCTTAAATGGAGGCAGGGACTTAGTACAAGGAGTGCTGACTAGGACTGGAACCTGGGCCCAGGGTGGCTGAGAGGCTGAACCATCCACCCCCTCCACCTCGCAGGTTTCCAGACACCTGTATCTCTCATATCTCTGCACTTCCTCCAGGAAGGGGCGGCTGCTCTCTTCGACCTCTTCCAGGGCCTGGCTCCAGCGAGAAGCTGCCTCCCAGACTGGGAACGCTTCTCCCATTGTATTTAGGCCTCTGGGCTGCTCAGCCACCACCTTCTTCAGCTCTGTCCAAAGCAGCAGGGGCTTAAGGGATGGGAAAGATCCCCCAGGGGCCCAGGAAGGAGACAAACAGACAGGAGGAACATCTGGGATGCATATGGATGATCCAGCGGGCCTGCCCACCCCAGAGGGCAGCCTCCAGCCTCCCCCACCCCACTGTCCTGCTCCTTTCTCAACAAGCTTCTTTGGTAGGGGTGGGGTGGTGGGCATTCTGGACAGCCTGCCTGGCCCCTGGGCAGGCCCTCACCTCTGACCATGTCGGCCGTCTGCAAGGCAGCCAGGATTGGGAGGGCGTTGAAGGTGATGTTCTCCTGCCGGAACCAAACGAGGCTGTGCCTCCTGCTTTCCACCGGGGGGCCCAGCTTGGGGGACCCTTGTTTCACCAGGTCCAGAGGGAAAGCAGCCCTCCATGGTGCTTTCAGGGGAACGGGCTTCCTTTTGCTCTCTTGTCCTTCTCCCCTCCCTTGGCCCAGGCTGACTCAACTCCCCCAAACATGGCTCCTTTCTGTCTCCACCCGCCTGCCCGGTCTGTTGCAGTAGACTCCAGTGTCTCATCTCTCCCAGCCATTCTGCACAGGACCCTCTGTTTCCCTCAAGTCCAGCTCCGGGCTATTCTTCCAGCCTCCAGTTCCACTTCCTTCCTCCTGGAATAGTTTGCTCTAGTCACCCAGCACAACTGACTCACCAGTTCCCCAACCCTGGCATTTTCCAGACCCTGGGTCACAGGTGCTGACTCACCCTGCACCCTCCCCCCACAGCCAGTCTCCACCCAGGAGAACCTGCCTGTTTTCTGGGGCTCAGGGTGTGAGCTCGCTCCCTAGCCATCCCCAGCCCACACCTCACGAGGATCCTAGCCCTTCCTTCTGAACTCCAGGCCTACCTCCCCCACCAGACTGTGCATGCAAGGACCAGCATCATGAGCCTCCAATCCAGAGTGCCATGTGGGAGGTGAGGCCCTAATTGGACCCAAGCCTGAGGTTCAACTGGGCTCCCACCCCAAAAGAGAAGAACTGAGGTCCCTCACTTCTGAGTTCCCAGGCAGGCGGGAGAGAAGGCAGGTAGAGCAGGGAAGGCACTCACCTCCCAGACCATGCTGTAGAAGTTGGCCTCTGGGACGTCTTTCAGCCAATGTAGGACATGGCCCACGGAAGGCACCTGAAACGGTTTTTGAGAGGGGGTTGTTATGACAGAGTCCATGAAGAAGCCTGGGAGGGGTCCCAGGGGAAGGATGGGGGCAGGGCCTCTCAATACTGTGTCCTCACGTACACGATGGGGACCACCACAGCCCCGACAGCTCTGGGTGATAGTGAGAACTCAAGAAGCTAGGTCAGGACTTCCCTGATGGTCCAGTGGTTAGGAATCCACCGCCAATGCAGGGGACATGCGTTCGACCCCTGATCTGGGAAGATCCCACATGCTGTGGGCCACTAAGCCCATGCATGCTCCACAACAGGAGAAGCCACTGCAGCGAGAAGCCTGTGCACCACAGCCGGAGAGCAGCCCTCTCGCCACAACTAGAGAAGAGCCGGAGCAGAAACAAAGACCCAGCACAGCCAAGAATAAAAAAATAAACAAAAAAGAAGAAGTTAAGTCATGTGAGGCTTACGGCACAAGCCTGGTACAGGGTGATGGTCACTAACCCCAGGTGTGTGGAGAGAGGAGGGGCAGCTGGGGAAAGGGATCGGGTGTTCGCTTCAGAGGACACCCGGAACAGAGGTTGCCCAGGGATGTTTGCAGCCGCGGGCAGAGCAGCCCCCTTCGCCCCAAGAGGACTCAGGCTTGGGCCAGCACCTGGCTGAAGTCTGCTCCCAGCTCCAGGGTGTGGCTTTTGTTCAGGGCCCCTGCACAGCCCTGGCAGTGGGGCTCCTGCAGCAGTGCCAGGAGGCGCTGCTGGTGCCCGTGGAGAGCTGGCGCCAGGGCATCCTGCCCCTCCTGCAGCTCCACAGAGGTGGCGTTCAGGCCTCGGAGGTGGTCCACGGAGACCTGCAGGGCTGAGAGACCCACATCCAGACTGAGGGGCCTCTGCTGCTACCAGCATCCTCAGAGGCCTTGGAGGAAGTCAGAGCAACCCAAGAGGCCTGGTGGTCCTTGGTCTCTGTAGTTGTAACGGAAGCAGCCCCAGGGCACAGGAAGCCAGGTGTGGACAGAGAGTCCAGAAAGGCAGGGGTGGGGCCCACTGAGGTGGCAGGAGAAATGTGGGGCTGGGCCCCCAGAGACACTCACCCTGGCCCAGGCTGAGCACTGAGGCCAGCGCCTCATACACGGTGCTCTTGAGCTGGGAGTGCATCGCCTTCCCGATGGTGCTGCCGACGCCTGGAGAGCACAGGGCAGTCTGCAGGGCGGCCCCGGGCCCCCCCACCCTCCACCTGCCCTCCCCCCCGCCTCCCCTTGGCCGCTCGGGGTGCTCCGCAGTGGAGTGAGTGCCACGCCGCCTGGCTGGGCCGGATCCCCACCATCTCAAGGGCGTGGATGAGGGGATGAGAGGCCCCCACGGCAGAACCCAGCCCAAACCCTCACCATTCAGTTCCTCCAAGACTTGCTCCTGAGGAAGTGAAAACTGCTCTGCCACAGCCTGCAGCTCCTAGGCAAACACAGGGCCGGAGGCTGCTCTTCCCCATCATGGAACAGCCCGGCTCCCATGCCTTCCCCGGCCCGTCCTGCCCACCATCCCCGCACCTGGGCGTCCATCCTGAGAATAGCAAGAGTGTGGTTATGAACGCGACTCTCCAGCAGGGGGCAGTCAGGTGCACGCTGGAAGAGGCACCCTTTCTAATGTGCAGGCTAAGCAGGAATTTGCAGGCCCCACCCTGCTCGGTCCCGTCCACCCGGGGGCGTGTAGGGGTGAGGGGCTACTCGGTGCTCACCTGGGGGACCTCGGAAACCAGGCCCCGGAGGCTGAGCAGAGCCTCCGGCACAGCCGCGGCACTGGGGCCCATCTGCTCGTGCATGTGCTGGTTGGTGACAAAGGCGGTGACCACACCGATCCTGCGGGGGTGGGGGAGAGGGAGCGGGGCTGCTGGCTGGATGCCCTCGGCGCCTCGGGCCTCGGCCCATGCCTCCCGCCTGCCCTGGGCGCCTCTCACAGCAGCACGAGGGTGGTCAGCAGCAGGAAGGCCATGAGGACACCACGCTCGCAGGCCATCGTCTTGTGCTCCATCTTCACTCGACCCCCGCAGCGCCGGCGGCAGCGCAAACAGCAGAAGCAGAGCCCGGCGGTGGGCATCGCCAGCAGGTAGAGGCCGGCGATCACGGCGCACACCACGTAGCCCGCCTGGTACCGCAACACCTGGGCCAGCGGCGAGGCATGAGGGGCTGCGCCGACCCTCCCCCCCAGCCCTCTGCCGGCTGACATCAGAAGGTGGGGGGGGTGGGGGCAACAGGGGCACCTTGCCCACATCGCCTATCTCCTTGTGGGGGGCACCATGTCCTTATTGTTATTTGTTGTTGTTCAGTCGCTAAGTCATGTCTGACTCTCTGTAACCCCATGGACGGTAGCCCGCCAGGCTTCTCTGTCCGTGGGATTTACCAGGGAAGAATACTGGTGTGGCTTGCCATTTCCTTCTCCAGGGGATCTTCCTGAGCCAAGAATCAAACCTGCGTCTCCTGCATCGGCAGGCAGGTTCTTTAGCACTGAGCCACCTGGGAAAGCCCCATATTGTTATTTACCATCTTACAAATAAGGGAAGGGAAGTCCAGGGAGTTGGGGCTCCCTGTCCCAGGTGGCGCTAGTGGTAAAGAACTCACCTTCCAATGCGGGAGTCATAAGAGACGCTGGTTCGATCCCTGGGCCGGGAAGATCCCCTGGAGGAGGGCATGGCAACCCACTGGAGAATGCCGTGGACGGAAGAGCCTGGTAGACTACAGCCCATAGGGTCGCAGAGCTGGACGTAACTGAAGCAACTCAGCGCACAGGCACGCCAACCCCACAGCCACTTAAGGGCAGAGCTGTGGTTTGCAATCAGGTCCGCGGACTGCTTACAGAAGCGAGGAAGTTGTGCCTGAGGCCCACCCCGGGGGTCACCAGCCAGGTGTGCTCGGCTGAGAAGGGCTGTCCCCTCCTGCCCCAGATGCTCACACCTGAACGCCCTCCCGCAAGCCGCCTGCACGCTCACCTCATCCACCTTCACAGAGGCCGGCTCTTTCAGCAGGGTCTTTATGAGCTCTGGGGAAAGAGTCAGGCTGAGTCGGGGCAGCGGCCCTGCCTGTGTCCACCCCCACTGCCAGGCTAACCCTCTCCGGAGGGGTCCTCCCATCACCCGGCACCCTCGGGGAAAGCAGTGTCACCACAGGCCAGTGCCCACCTACCCTGGCCTCCGCAGGGCTGCGGGAGGGTACGTCTGAGGGCAGGCCTGGCCCACCCCTCCCTCTGGGCCCCCAGGTAGGAGAGCCGGAGGGAAGCTGGTTAAGAGCAGAGAAGGGGCCTGGTCTAGCAGCCTCCCCGCTGAGTTAGGGACAGGCTGTGGGTTGGGGAGGGGTCTGGCCGGCCCTCCTGGTCCCTGCAAGCTCCCCACGACACCAGTCCCAGAGAAGACCTCAGCCGGCTCTTTGAGAACTTTGAATGTATCTTCCTCTACTTTAGGGCCGAGAAACGGAGGCTCAGAGAGGAACGGGGGTTCGCCCCAGGTCACTCAGGAAGATGATGCTCTGGGAGCTTCTGGGGAGGAAGGGGGGGGTGGGGAGAGCTGGGGACCCTGCCCTCCAAGTGGCTGCCGGGGGTGGGCGCGCCCCGCGGTGGACAGGCGGTTAAGGTGAGGCTGGGGACCCCACGCGTCCAGGCTCGTCCGGGGCAGGGGCGCACTCACCCGCGGGGAAGGGGTTGAGCTGCACCGCCGAGAGGAAGCTGCGCACGGTGCCGTACAGCGAGTCCAGGGGGCCCGGGGCGCGGGCGCGAGGGGCCAGCCAGCGGGCCCTGGCCGCCGGCGCGAAAGCCAGGCGCTCCGCCGGGCCGAGCGCCCTGCAGCCCGACGCGCCCGCCCCCGGGAGGGTCAGCACCACCCCCAGGCCCAGGAGGGCCGCCGGGAGGCCGGGCGCGCGCACCATGGGGTCGGCCGGTAGGCTGCGGGTGGGCGGCCGGGGCTCAGGGGGCCGAGAGTGCCAGCGGCGCGCGGGGCAGGCCGCGCATCCTTCGCCCTGCTCCGTCCCGCCGCTCTCCGCTCTCCAGACCTGCCCGACAGGTTTGGGCTACCTGGGCACCCGCCCGTGCGCGGCCGGGCCAGGGGTGGAGGCCTGGGCTGGGGGTGGGGTGGGGTGGGGTGGGGGCAGGGCCTGCTCCGGACCCGCCCCCGGCCGCCTCGGGTGGGAGCCTGGGTGCCCTCCGCCCTGGCCACACGCTCTTGGGAGGGCTTAGCCTCCGAGCTGAGTGGGGGCGCGCACGTCAGTACCTCTGGATTATGGAGGATGGCCCAATTTCAACCATTATATTCAGTGCCCAGACTCAGAAGCCAAATTTGGAGCCTGGGAAAACAGCCATCAGGTGAAGGACGGCAAGGGGTGGCAAGCCCAGCCACCCGGGCCCAGGAGCCAGGTTCCTCTCTCAGCTCCCCCTCGGGCCTGTTCTGTTGGCTCCAGCCATGCCTGCGCCCATGCCAGGTCAGTCCGGAGCAGAGAGGCCACAGGCTTTGTCCAGGGAGGCTCTCTAACGAGTCACTCAGATGGGTACAATCCCTTGGGAGGGTGAATCCTGGCAAAGGTGTGCCCTTTAGCCCAGCAATGCCCCATCCAATCATCGCCTGAAAGAATTGTCAAGAATATGCCCAGAGATGTGTCTGCACAAGCTTCTGCTTTGTCAGTGGCTATGAGCCCAGTACGCAGAGGGTGCCCACAGCTGAGCAGGTTGGAGGAAATATTTGCTAAATGGATGGATGTTCCTGGCAGCATTATTCACAATCCCGGAAACAGCCCTGATGGCACCATCATTGGGTGGTGGAGAAACTGGCAAAATGAGCATCTCACACAGTGGGCTGTCAATAAAGAAAATGATGTGAAAATGGCTCTTTTGAAAGATACTCAGTGTCTTAACAAGTGTGAGTAGCTGATGACAAATAGCTGGGTACCTGGACTGAAGGCATAAAACCATGATCATCTCCAAGTGGAACCTCGGGCAATTTCTAATTCTCTTCTACTCACCTGCACTTACTAATGTGTGTGCAACAAACATGCGTTACTCATGTTCAAAAAAGTGTGAGAAGTTTGTGAGAGGCCATGGCAGCCACCATGGAGCCCTGGAAGGAGAGGATGCACCTGTCCGTGGGACTCCCCAGCTCAGGCTTGGTTTGCGGTGTGTGTGAGGGGAATAGGGGTTCGGGCTACTCACGGGGGTCTGTGGTAGAGAAGTGACTCAAATTTTATTTTTTTTTCTTTTAAAAAATATCTATTTACTTGGCCATGCCAGGTCTTAGTTGCAGCATTCGGGATCTTCCATCCTTGCTGCAGCATGTGGGATCTAGTTCCCTGATTGGGCTCAGAGTCTTAGCCACTGGACCACCAGGCAAGTCCCCTGAAGTGCCTTAAGCTTAAGCCATGACTGGGCCTGCAGCAGAGCCCCAACTAGACCCATTGCTATCCCTGCAGATCTGGGGGTTAAGAGGGTGCAGTTGTGGAAAGAATAGCCTAGTTAATAACAGGGTGCAGACAGGAAATGGAACCTCATCAAAGGGTGACTCAGAGATGAGGATCAGGGCTACTTGGGGAATGGACTGGGGTGCCCTAGCTCCTTGGATCTGGAAGGAGGGGTGTCCAGGGCCATCACTGACCCCTGGAGCCCAATTGCAGCTGCAGAGGGAGGCCTCTGACTGCTCCGCCCTGTAACTGTGTCGAAAAGCTAAATGCAGGCTGTGCTCACCCTTCCCATCTGACTCACCTGAGCTTCACACCTGAGCTGGGGACACCAAGGCTGCCATCAGGAAGGGCTGGTCCCCCCAGAGCCTGCCTGCTCACCCTCACTCTCCTCCTCCAATGTGAGCTGCTAGAAGGAGCGACTTCCCTGGCCATCACTTTCTAACTTGAGTCCTGCCGCCAGTAGGATGGAAATAACCGCTTCCCGGCTTGGTATAACCCACCTGTGCAATTTTGGTAACTGCCATTTAGGCTTTTCTGCGTGCTTTGACTTGGGTGCACCAGCAGCAGGAAAGCTGAGGTCCTAACCACCTAGGGAGGAGTAGAAACCCTTGGGGCTTTGGGACATTAGCAGCCCAGACCCCCATGTCCTGGCTCCTCACCCACCCCTCTCCTAACAATTATTATCAAGCTAAGTTTCCTGTGTCTCTAACAAAAACACTGCACTTTGAAGATAAGAGTCTTCCCAGTTGGGACTTCTTTCTTGGTCTAGTGGCTAAGACTCCACGTTCCCAGTGCAAGGGGCCCAGGGTTTGATTCCTGATTGGGGAACTAGATCCCGCAGGCCTCACCTAAGACCCATTGCAGCCAAATAAATAAATAAAAATTAAAAAAAAAAAGAGTTTCCCCAAGAAAAAGCAAAACATACCAAGCCTCCTTTTTAGGGTAGGGCGAGGAGGGCTGATTAAGACACTGAATTTGCCTATTTGATAGGTGAACCAAGTGAGGCTCGGAAGCAGGAGGGACTGTGCCAAGGCAGTGGTCAAGCCACGAGCCTCCCTCCTGAGCCAGATCCTGATGAAGCAGTCCAAACAATCTATCGTCAGACCGGCTGGTGGCCCGAGTCTCCTCCCCTCCCCCAGGCCCGCCAAGGAGAGCCGGTGAGGCTCAGGGGGTCAGCCCTGGGTGCTGGGCAGAGGAGGAGAGGAATTTGCTGCTATAATTGAATTCCTAGGAGGAACAGACCAAGCAGGCTGTGTGGGGCTGGGCCTCTGGGCCGCAGGGTTACCCCTGCAGCAGCCTCTAAGGCTGTGGAGCTGGCAGGCGGGGGCTGCAGGGCTTCTAGAATCAGGAAGCGGGTCCAAAGGAGGTTCTGTCCTGCTGCCCCTTGTAGTCACACCTTTCTGGGCACACCTGCATGCCCCTTCCTCCTGCTATCCCTGGGACCCGCTCCCATCCATGGAGATTCCTTCGTTGATCTGGGATCGACTGACCCTCATTACCTTGGGAATATTTCTGGAGCCACTTCCCTACACTTGACCTCACACATCGTCAGAAGTTGATCGTTCCCAAATCTCACAGGCCTTGAGGTTGGGGAGGTGGAGACCTGAGGGGGCGTAAGGGGGACCTTTGCCATGATTCACAAAGCAGCTGGGCCCAAGGATACCAGGGGGCCCTCTGGCTGCCTCATGCCGCCTGCCCTGGAGACGGAGAGGGAGAGGAATGTACATCGAGGAAGCAGCAGACGGAGCGGGTCCCCCTCCTTCCCACCTCTGGGGTCTGTCTGCTGCCCTGGGCTGATGCTGTCTGTGCTCGGTCGTGTCCCCCTCTCTGCAACCCCGTGGTTGCCCGCCGGGCTCCTCCATCCATGGTGTTTCCCAGGCACAAACACTGGAGTGGGTAGCCATCTCCTCCTCCAGGGGATCTTCCTGACCCAGGGATCAAATCCGCGTCTCCTGCACGGCAGGCAGGTTCTTTACCGCCGAGTCGAATGGGTTGTAAATAATCCCCGGGGGCAGATCAGTGAGGTCAGAGCACAACACTGCCTCACTTAGCCCTCTTTTGATGGCAAGAATCAGAGATCCACTTAGAGATTTTAAAAGTGAGCACTTATTATAGGGACACAGGGCATTTGAGGAGCCCATGCACGGGATGTGGAGCTGGGCCTCAGGAGGGCTGGGGGCCGGAACAGGAAACCACTGAGTGCTCCTGCTCTGTCTCAGATGGTCTCTGGTCAGGGACCTCCCCCACTGCACACTGGCCAGGGGTCAGACCCACAGGGCAGAGAAGGCTGTCCTGCCAGCCCACGGCTACCTGTTCTCCCAGATCTGCTGGTGCCAGAGACCAAAGAACCACAAGCCACATCCTGAACTCAAGCAGCAAGACAGTGACGGTGCCAACCTGAAACAGCCTCCCCCAGGCCACCGTGGTCCAGCCCAAAGAGAGACCCCCTAGAGGTGCCATTTCTTCCCGTTGGGTGCTCAGGACAGCAGCACGGAGCAGACCCCCAGGACCTCTGTCTTCACCCTGAGTCTCCCCTTGGACACGTTCCATCCAGGTGCCCAGCAGTTCAAGGACAAAAATCTTAAAGAACTAGATCTTATATTGTATCCAGGAAGAAGTGGCTCCACCCTCTGTCCCCACCATACAGCTCTGCAAGGACACAGGCTTAGGAGTGGAGGGCTGGAAGAGGGGGGTTAGGCCCAAAAGATAAGCCCACCCAACCATGACCAGGAGATGAGTGACATCATGGAGAGTGGGGAACAAACAATACCTAAAGTTTACAGGGAGTCTTTCCTGGTGGTCCAGTGGTTAAGGCTCCACGCTCCCAATGCAGGGGGCCCAGTTTCGATCCCTGGTCAGGGAACTAGAGCCCACATGCTACAGCTAAGAGCTCACAACTAAAGATCCGGCATGCACCTAACACCCAGCCAAATTAATGTTTTTAAAAAAGATTTTAAAAAACCCCAATAAAGTCTACAGGGAAGTTTCACGCGACATGTTGCCTGCTTAGAATCAGAATCTGTCTCCTGCTCGATGCTGACTGCATGAAACTGGGGAGGAAATTTGTGTGGTCCTGATGACAGACAGAAGATTCCAAAGAATCTCCATCCACTGGACTGGGGTGGCTGGGGTGGGGGGTGGCGTTCAACTGTTGAGCATGAAATGGCGCGGGAGAACTGAAGTAGCCATTTCACAGATTCCTAGATTCATAACTGTTTGTGGAAACAAAAAAGACCATGATGGACCAGCTGACCGCAAGGGAGCATGAGTCAATAATGAGGTTAGACAGCTAAGATGCCCTCTCAGGGTTCCCTCCCAGCAGCATTTCCCCGTTTCCATGCAGCTCCTACATCCCCAGGCTGACGATGGGGCTGAATGAGTTGGGGGCCCCCAGACCCTGGGTGAGGACACAGGAAACCCCTGAAACCTGAGAGGTCACAGGCACTCCTGCACTCCCACAGCCAGCCCCGCGGAGGTGAGTCTGCAGCAACCACCCTCAGGAGGCAGGATGCTGTCTGCAGGAAGTGGCAAGTTGCTCTTCTGAGCTCTTTGCTCATCTTAGAAGAAAGGAAGGTCTTTCTTCTCTGGATGATTTACAGGTAGAACTGCCCTCGCTCTCATTTCATTGTTGTTCAGTTGACAAGTCGTGTCCGACCCTGCACGCATGGACTGCAGCATGCCAGGCTTCCCTGTCCCTCACTATCTTCCAGAATTTGCCCAAGTTCATGTCCGTTGAATCAATGATAACATCCAACCATCTCATTCTCTGTCACCCCCTTCTCCTCCTGCCCTCAATCTTTCCCAGCATCAGGGTTTTTTCCAATGAGTTGTCTCTTTGCATCAGGTGGCCAAAGTATTGAGGGCCATTTCATTAGAGAAGTTCAAATCCAAAGTGAGGGCTTGCCAAGGTATGCATTGATGCTGATTAATGCAAGTACCACAAAACAAAGTGTGGACATATTCACCTAGGAGTGTGAATTACACAGCAGTTCCCAGCTGGTGCTAGTGGTAAATAATGCTCCTGCCAATGAAGAAGGCATAAGAGACACAGGTTTGATTCCTGGGTCGGGAAGATCCCCTGGAGGAGAGCATAGCAACCCACTCCAGTATCCTTGTCTGGAGAATCCCATGGACAGAGGAGGCTGGTGAGCTACAGTCTATGGGGTCCCAAAAAGTTGGACACAACTGAAGCGACTTAGCACACACTGTGCTCCTAAAACACAAGGAAGCCACGTAAAACTGTGGGGCTTCTGAGTCATGTGTCCTCACCTGAAGTGATGTCAGCTTCTCTTTTTTAAAAATAATTGTATTTATTTTTGGCTGTGCTGGGTCTTTGTTGCTATGAAGGCTTTTCTCTCATTGTGGAGAGCACGGACTATTCTTCTTTGTGGTGCAGGGGCTTCTCGTTGTGGCATCTCTTGTTGCAGAGTGGGGGCTCTTGGGGCACCGGGCTTCAGTAGTTGTGGCCCCCAGACTCTAGAGCACAGGCTCAGTAGTTGTGGTGCATGGGCTTAGCTGCTCCATGGCCTCTGGGATCCTTCCAGACTAGGGATCAAACCCGTGTCTCCAGAATTGGCAGGCAGATTTTTTTTTACCACTGAGCCACCAAGGAAGCCCTGTAATGCCAGCTTTTGAGGAATGGGGATAATGGCAAAAGCACTCATTCCCATGAGAGACCTTCTCTTCCTCGTAAGGTGCAAGTCCTGAAACTTCAGTGCGAACTGGGCTTTTCAGGGCTGCAAAGGGAGCTGTCATCTGCACAGGAGCCTTGGGCTCAGCCAGCAAGAAGAGCAGAGACAAGACTGGGGGTGGGCTAGGGGGTCTCAACAGGCTGCTGATGCCCCAAGCTGAATCACCTGCAGAGGCCTGGGTTGCAAATCTCCAGGGGTGGCGCTCAGGTCAATGTGGGTTCCTGCACTCCCGGGGGTTCTGATGGGCTGAGAGTGACCCGAGAGCCATGGGTGGTCCCAGCCCCCCTCACAGGAGTGCAGCCCTTATCCTCACGCACTCAGGAGATTTCCTGCGGGGACACGGGGAGGGGGTGTCAGGACTCTACCCCTGCCCGCGGCCATCCCCACCTTCTGCACCCATTGTAACCGCTGAGCCAGGCTTCCGGGACCACATCAGTGTAGATGGGGAGACTACATGTGAGCAGGCATTCTCAGGGTGGGGGGGGGCAGGAAGAAACTGGGGGACAAGAAGGAGACTGGCCCCACAGAACCACCTTTTGGGAAGCCTGCAGTTCCTGGGGGCCGGCTGGGATTGGGGGAGTAACACCTGTCCCCAGGACGTTTGGAGATGGGGAGACTTCCCTGCCAAGGCCCAGCCTCTGGGGCTCCTTCGGGGGCTCCCGGGGGCCAGTGAGGCCACAGTGAGCTCTTCGGGGCCACAGTGAGCAGGCAAGAAAGAAGACGAGTCAGTGATCAAAGCAGGGGGCCCCTGCCTCGCTCCCGCTGGCCCTTCAGTGCAGGAGGACTTTGTCAAGACAACAGAGGGGCGCGGACAACGGAAGCCTGTGTTTTCTAAATGCAGGAGACGGTGGGCCAGGCCGCCTCTGAACACACAGGAGGGCGAAGGGGTCTTTCCCAAACCAGATGTGAGTGGACCAGCACCGCAGGGACGCAGGGAGCCCAGGAGCAGTTCCTTCCAAAGGGCTGTGGAGCAGTGACTCCAGATGCAGAAGCTGGCAGAGCAAGCCAGGGGAGTGGCCCGCGGAGCTGTGCCTACGCGTTCAGAGAATGGCGGGCAGTGCCACCGAAGCACAAAGGACATCTCAGCTGTGTCTTTAAAACACACTGGACAGTGGGGCGGGAGCTGTCGGCCAAAAAATATAGTCACAACCTGAAAGCAGGGAGTTATTTTATTTGGTGGGAATGTTTAGGCCTCCGAGTCCGGGAGAGTAACTCTGAGAAAAGTGCTCCCAGGAAGCAGGAGGGGAAGATAGGCTATAGACAAGTTTGCAATAAAGGGAGCAGGTAGTCTGAACATCAAAGATCAGGTATCAAGTTAAGGAATTTAGCATTCTGTGTATGGGAAGATACAAGCCTCTGAGCTCAGTGAATTCATTCCTTTCACATGCACCTCAGCTATCTGGGGCCAATTCTGCTTCCTTGTTTACATTGCTTCTTGTATCCCCCCAGTTCCTCAGCGATCACCATGCAGGAGGGTATGGGGGCTGGGGGTGTGGCGGGGGGTGGAGTGGCAGCATCCGCTGGATCCCAGTTTTGGGAGCCCTCATTCACATTTGGAGGCCAGAAATTGCTGAGAGCTGTGACATTTTTTTGTTTATTGATATGGCATGAGAGATTTTCACTTCACACCCCCTTAAGCCACGAGAGTGGCAGTCATGTCCTAACACCAGAGCCCGTGGAGCAGAGGCTCGGGATGCACAGGGCGGGGCTCAGCGCCTCCCACGCTCGGAGCGGGCAGGAGGACCAGTCCGGACGCAGAGGGTGATGGAGCCCTGCTGAAAGAGGAGCGGTCCGTGGAAAGGCAGTGGGGCCGTGCCTTTCACCATAGACGACAGGCGAGCATCAGCTTCCAACGGAGAGGAGAGGGCGGCGGGCCTCAGTCTGGGGCCCCCATTTCCCAGCCGGCCGCCAGTCTTGGGCAGATCGTATTGGCTGCTCTCTACTCCCCACAGGTGGGACCCTCAGCCAGCTGTGGTGGTGGGATCATTCCCACGCTGACGTCCCCATCTATCATATTTCTTCTGCCTCTTCCACCTGGCTGCTCAGCTCTTCTGCTTCCCAGTCTGTGATTAGGAACTCACACCTGAATGTTCCAGGACTGGCTTTCTATCTTCAAGCCAGATGATTAGTGACCTTAATTACATCAGCAAAGTGCATCTAGAGCCCGTGCTTTGCAAGAAGAGAACCAACTGCAGTGAGAAGCCTGGGCACCGCAACAAAGAGTAGGCCCTGCTAGCTGCAACTAGAGAAACCCACAAAAAGCAAAGAAGACCCAGCACAACCAAAGATAAATAAATAAATACATCCTTAAAAAAAATTGACCAAGGGACAGGAATCTTCAAGGGGCATCTCTAGGATTCTGTGTATGATAGATTTCTTTATTGTAAAGCTTCTCATTTGTCTTGAATTGGCTAATATGCACTGTGACTCTTACCGAAGGAAGTCTTCTATGCAAGCCATTTCTGTTATGATTACATTCAACTGACTACATCAGAAAATCCAAAATGACAATGGGTAAGCCAAAACAAAAATGGATTCTTATGCAAAGTGAGACAGGAGGTTGGTCATCCAGAGCTAGCCTAGAAGTTGCATGAAGTAGCAGTGCCCAGGCCCCTCCTCCCTTTCGTTGACTCTGGCAGTGTCTAACCTCATGATTGCCTCATGGAACAAAATGAGAGCTGGAGGTCTGGTCGTCACATTGACATCTCAGGCTGGCAGACGGCTGGAAGGGGCTGATACCCCTCCTGGCTAAGGCAACTTCCTTTAAAGCACCCTCTACCCCACCACTCCCAAACACCCACCCCAAGTCACTCCCAGACCCTGAATGTACATTTCATTGACCAGAGCTTAATCAGAAGGCCACATAGGGAGGCTGGGAAGTGCTCTTTGGGCTGCGTGCTCTGAGCCTGGAATAAGGCCAGGGTCCTGTGACTCCACCAAGATGTGGGGTGTGCATACTGGTTAGATCCAGCTTTCACTACCACCCTGGACTCTCCAAGAGTATGTGATTACAGATGCCTTGTTTTCAGAGCACAGTGCATAAAGTGTGTTTTCCTTTAACCTGCAGAAATATGTGTTATGTCTAGCTGCCCGATACATTTATGTTCTATTCTCCTAGTTCCTGAGTAGTGAAAGTATTTTAAGGCCAAATGAGGCAGCACTGAAGAATATATGGGCTTCCCAAGTGGCTCAAATGATAAAGATCTGCCTGAAGATGCAGGAGACACAGGAGATGCGGGTTTGATCCCTGGGTCGTGAAGATCCCCTGGAAAAATAAATGGCAACCCACTCCAGCATGCCTGCCTGAAAAATCCCATGGACAGAGGAGCCTGGCGGGCTTCAGTCCATAAGGTCGCAAAGAACTGAACACGATTGAGTGACTCAGTAGGCATGCACAAAGAAAACATAAACAATCATCCCTAAATTGTATCAAAAAAGAAGCCTGTGTTCCTAGAACTCAAGCCACATCATTCACGTCTCCCTTTGCCCCTTTCACTCATGTGTGATGCTGAGTCACTCGTCGTGTCTGACTTTTTGCGACACTTTGGACTGTGGCCTGCCAGGCTCCTCTGTCTATATTTGACCGTGCTGGTATTCCGATGTGGCACAGCATGTGTGCCCAGCACAACAGCTCCAGGCAAAACGTTCAAGGCACAGGGGAGCTGCAGGGCCTGCCTCGCGGCCCATCTTGCCAGCTGGACCCCCAGGCCTGGACCTCTGAGAAGGAGGGTCCCCAACTCCTCCTCTCCGCTCGTGTCCAACTCAAATAGCTCAATGCCCACCCCGCACCACCCCCCTCCACTTCCTGTCAAGGTCACTTCTCTGGCGGAGGTCTTGGAGCAAAGGAAGCCTATCTCACCTTGCAGCTGGTCCCCACCTGCATCTGGGACGCGGGTCCTTTTTCTTCATCCCTGACTCACCACTTAAACAATTATGTAAGGATCTCTGACTAACAGCTAGGGGGCAAAGGAAGGTGACTGCAGCAGAGGAAGGGAAAAAAAACAAACTTCAAATTGAAATGTCAGTCATCATATTCCCAGCAACAAGCTCGGCTCTCTCTAGGGGTTTCTCCTGGGCTCTGTCTGTCCTCAGGACCTTCCTCCCCTGTGTCCTCTTATGTCTTCCTCCTGCCTCAGACCCTGGTATTGAAAACCCCAGCTTGTAACCTGAGGGTACTAACGTCAAGCTCGGGTTAGAATTCAAGCTCCCTGTGTTCACAGCAGGTGACACTTCATGGACACATCACATCAGAGAGTTTGACTCTGGGTCCTGGCCTCCCACTTCAGCCTCATTAACCTCTAAGGATCTCGAATGCAGAAGGGAGGTTTGGTCTGGCTTGATTGCCGAGGTTGGCCCTTCAGCCTTACAGTGACTGACGGCCGATCTCTGCTGATGGCCAGGTGGGTGAGTCCTGGCCCAGACAGCATCATTCCCAAGGACGAGGGACTAGAGGCAAGGACACTCATTTTCAGGGCTGGGTCTTCCTGGCCCAAAGGGAGGAGGGGTGAAAGCCCAAGAGACAGAGAACATCAGGGCATCGAAGGAGGGGCAGCCGACTGAATGCTGAAGCCCCGTGACGCGTGGGATAAGCGACTGCGTGCTGGGCCTGCTGCAGGGGGGCCAGGTCGGGCGTGTACCTTGTGACAGGGATGCTGTACCCCAGAGCAGACTGGCCCTTCAAAGGGGGAGGGAGGGAGCTGGGGTGCGGGCACAGCGAGAGGAAGAGCAGAGGGAATGCTCTGGCCAGACTAGGAGCCAGGCAGGATGTGCGCGGTCCGAGTCAGTGAGACAATGAGGCGGTCAGCCAGCGATGCGCAGAGGTTCGGCGTCAGGAGGTGGCAGTACGGAGTTCTCTGGCGGCCCCATGGCTGGGACTCTGCACTTTCATTGCCGAGGCCACAGGTTCAGCCCCTGGTCAGGGAACTAAGATCCCCTGCAGGCAGCAGGGTGCAGTCAAAAAAACAAAAACAGAAAAAACACAGGTAGCATCAGGCTAAGCACAGCAAGAATTAAATACACAGGGGGGCCCAGGTGAGCGCAGCTATCAAGGCTCGGGCAGGGGAATGCAAGTCTCAGCAGGCAGGTAGCAGACATCCAGGGCAGGAAAGCTGACCCAGGGCAGCAGGCGGAAGGAGGTCCTGACTCTGGAGCCTGTGGAGAGCCCTCCAGGGTCAACTCAAGAACCCAGGTTCCACCAAACCCAAGTCCTCATGAGAAGCATCGGGCCAAATGGGGCTCCTCTTGGGTAGATGTTGGGCAACCAGAAGTACCTGGACACTTTTAGGGAGAAACGACCTTTGCTTCAGGTCAGAGAGGGACTTCCCCAGTGGCGCAGTTGGTAAAGAATCCGCCTGCCAATGCAGGAGATGCAAGGGACTTCGGTTCGATCCCTGGGTCGGGAAGATCCCCTAGAGTAGGAAATGGCTACCCATTCCGATAGTCTTGCCTGGAGAATTCCATGGACAGAGGAGCCTGGCGGGCTACAGTCCGTGGGGTCACAGAATCGGACACGACTGAGTGACTAAAAACAACAAAGCGTCTGATTGCATCACCCAGCGAGGCCTGAGTGTCCATGGCCAGACCTCTCCTCTGAGAGTGTAATTGTTTCTGTTCCTCCCTCCACCTGACTCACGTTCCTGAGACAGAAGTCTACATCCCTGGGAGAACTCAGGGCAGGCTCACGGGGATGCTGGGCTGGGTTTCCATGGGAAGGCTTTTCTGGGGGCAGAACCACCCAGGGGCCTGTTTCCAGGCAAGGGGTCTTGGGCCTCACCTCTACGCACAGTCAGAAGGAGCCTCAGCTCAAGGCACAGGGGCCTCATTCTCCCCAACCGGAAAGCCGGGGTCAGAGCCATCTCCCCACTGCAGGTTGTATTCTGCTCCCCTCTCCCGAGGCCTCTGGTCATTTCTATGGCAACAGCTTTATAGACCTGACTCCGTGGGAGCCTGGGTGATGAGCCATGTGCCACTGTTGGCCTGGAGAGGCCACAGGAGCAGAAAGCAGCAGCCCACCCCAGCTGAACAAGTGTGTGTTCAACGGGAGAAGGGCCATTAAATCTCTGGGGTGTGTGTGTTCAACGGGAGAAGGGCCATTAAAACCTCTGGGGTGTGTGTGTGTGAAAAGGTAAAACAAAGACCGAGAATTTAGAGTCCTTAACAGAAACCCTGGACAATGCTGTGCTTCTAAAATCTAAAACCATAAGTCCCAAATGTGACTTGAAGTCGCCCCCAGAGAAAAGTGCATCTTTCAAACCCAGTTAGTCCAAGAGAGAACAAGACATCCCACATAATGAGGCAAGCTAGAATTAGAGAGCTAAAAATAATTTCAGGTGTGTTTTGCCAAGAATTCAAGAGGCCTTTCTGCCCACCAACCTTCGCTGGGTACCCATTGTGTATCTACCACTGTGCTGAGAGCTGGAAGCATGGGTATGTGGAGGAATATTTCTGCAACTCTGTTCCCTGAAGATACAGGGCATGGAGGGAAGGGATTCAGGGCACAGAGGTGTGCTCTGTGATGACAAGAGAGAATCAATTTTCTCGTTGCTGTTTCTCCATAGACAAGGCTTCTAAAGAGACACACCACTTTATTCCTCTTTGAAGCAGACAGACTGAAAATCCTGTTGGCAAGCCCACAGGAAGCACTAAGCTTGACAAGCATTGAAGTGGTGAGGCCACCCCAGCGTTTGGAAGGGATGAGAAGCCAAGTCCTGTTATAGGAACGCCAACTAAAACCTTCCTCTTGTCGCTTTGGAGAGGCCCAGGCCTTGGCCATGCGCTTGGACCCCAGCTGCTAGGGCCACGCCCAGCTCCCCTCTTCCCAACAATGGACATCACAAGGACTCCTTCTCATCTGTTCTGTAACCCGAAGGTTTGGTCTGTGACTAGTCCCTCCCTCTGAAAGCAGAAATGATTTCATGTACATTCAGCACTTCCACAGTCCCTGACGCGTGGCAAACGCTCAACAAAGGTTGGTAATTACCAGTATAATGAGTCTAGGGCTCATTAATAAATTGAAAATCTCGGGGGCATGGCTCTGTGAAGGTAAATCGTTTTCCAGACTCCTCCGCAGGCTGGAAAAAGATGAAAGGCATTTTCCGCTGAGGCTGGTTAAGTTAAATAGGTAATCGGGATGAGTAATATCATCTGCCCCAAAGTGGACGATGATGATAACAAAACCTGTTCTCCCTAGGGGCTCCAGAGACCACAGGTGTCTCCAGCGCGCTGACCTGTCCCAGCTCCAGCCTGGTTGGTGCAACACTGCCCCCCGGTGAGGACAGAGGAACTACAGGGAAATTCTTAAAAGGACCGTGGTTGAAGTTTAGTTGCTGAGTGCTGTCTGACCGGTTTGCTACCCCATGGACTGCAGCCCACCAGGTTCCTCTGTCTATGGGAAGTTCCAGGCAAGAATACTGGAGTGGGTTTCCTCCTCTGGGGGATCTTCTTGACCCAGGGACTGAACTGGGTCTCCTCACTGCAGTTGGTCTCCTGAATTACAGGTGGATTCTTTACCACTGAATCACCTAGGAAGCCCCCTTCGTCTGTAGCTCATTCTTTTTATTGTTGAACAGTAGTTCATTGTGTGAATAAGCCTTAATTTAGTTTTGTATTGTACTGATGGTGACATTTGGGCTGTTCCCAGTTTTGGCTACTAAAAATAGCACAACTAGGAACAATCTTGTGTAGGTGTTTTTGTGAACAAGTGTTTTCATTTCTCTTGGGTAAATATTCAGGAGTCAGATTTCCGGGTCAATGGGTAGGTACATGTTTAACTTTCTAAGAATTTGCTAAACCATTTTTCCAAAGTGGTGGTAGCATTTTCACTTTCCCATCAACAGTATATGCTGCTGCTGCTAAGTCGCTTCAGTCGTGTCCGACTCTGTGCGACCCCATAGACGGCAGCCCACCAGGCTCCCCTGTCCCTGGGATTCTCCAGGCAAGAACACTGGAGCGGGTTGCCATTTCCTTCTCCAATGCATGAAAGTGAAAAGTGAAAGTGAAGTCGCTCAGTCATGTCTGACTCTTAGCGACCCCATGGACTGCAGCCTACCAGGCCCCTCTGTCCATGGGATTTTCCAAGCAAGAGTACTGGAGTGGGTTGCCATTGCCTTCTCCGAACAGTATATGAGTCTCCTTTTATTTATAAAGTTTGGAGAAGTGCAGTTCTACGTGAGCAGCAAAACAAGGAGAATGAGCATTCATGTAAACTATGACGTCAGGATTTGATGAGGCAGCTGTTCTTTCTAGAACTCCCTGCACAGAGACTTTCCTGGTGGTCCAGTGGTTAAGGATCTGCCTTCCAATGCAGGGGACATGGGTTCAATTTCTGGCCAGGAAACTAAGATCCCGCATGCCATGGGGCAAATAAGCCTGCATGCGGAAACTACAGAGCCCACAGGCCACAACTGGAGAGAAGACTTCACTTCACAAGAAAGATCCCCTGTGCTGCAGCTGAGACCCAACACAGCCAAAAATAGATGTAAGTATTTTAAAAATAAAATCCCTACACAAATGGAAATCCTGGATTAAAACATCATAGGTCTGCTTATAAAACTGTAAGAGCTACCTTCAGACATCAAAACCAAAGAAGAAGGACATCTTACTAAAAGAAACCAAGGATCTTTGGGGAAAGGCTGGTTTCTGATTTGGCACAAGGAAAGAAAAAAAAGTAAGCCTGGAACCCCTTCCATGTCAGACTAAGGACGGAGCGGCCAGCAAGAAGGGTTCTCACTTTCCACATTTTATTATAACAAAATGATGGGAGATAATATTCCTAATACAGATAACTAACAAAGAACTTATATCAAGAATACATATAAAGAACTTCCACAAATGAATCAGAATCCTTTTTAATGAACAAATGACTTAAATAGTTGTAATAGGGAGGAAATTTTGTGTTCTATTATTAAGTCAATCACTAAAGAGATATTGCCTGTAAATTAAATTATATATACTGCTCCATCTCTGAGAGGGGCTTCCCAGGTGGCTCGGTGGTACAGAATCCACATGCCAATGCAGGAGATGCAGGTTTGATCCCTGGGTTGGGGAGACCCCTTGGAGAACGATATGGCAAACTACTCCAGTATTCTTGCCTGGGAAATCCCATGGACAGAGAAGCCTGGCAGGGCTACAGTCTGTGGGGTCAAAAATGAGTTGGACTCGACACAGTGACTAAACAACAACAATCTCTGATCACCCTGCCTCCCAGGTAATGAGTTTTCAGTGAAAATACCTTTGTTTAGCTCACAGTAATCATCCTGACCATACCCACCTGTGAATGGCTGCAGGCAGGAAGAAATTAACAATCTGCACTGGAGTCTGGCCAGAGTCAGGACTTTACCTCCTCACCTATTAGTTTAAAAGAAGCCTGAATTCTAACTCAGGGAAGATGGTTCTTTGGGACATTAGTCTACCATTTTCTTGGTCTGCTGGCTTTCTCAACAAGTCATTAATCCTTGTCCCAACAACTCGTCTCTCGATTTATTTGCCTGTCATTTTGGCAAGCCACAGTAGCTTGGACTTGGTAAGATAGTCACTTAAAAAAAAAGATATCCAAATGTTCAATTAGCATTTGAAAAAGTGATCAGTATCATTAGTTATCAGAAAAATGAAAATTAAAACCACCACAAAAGACCACTGCACATCAACCAGATTATTAAAAAATTTAAAGGCTAAAATTAGAGTGTAGACAAACTGGAATGCTCATGCTTTAATGACAGGTGTTTTAAATTGGTAAAAGTTGTCTGGAAACCATTTGACACTATCTTCTAAAGCTAGATATATGTCTGCTGCGTGACTCAGGAATTTTCCTCCTAGGTATATGCTTACGAGAAAAGCATAGGCCTAACAGGAATGTTCATAGCAGTTATATTTATAATAGCCCCAAACTAGAAACAACTCGAATATCCGTCAACAGTAGTGCGGATTATAGTATAGTCATACAATGGAATACTATATCGTCAGTGGAAAAGAACAAATTACTGATGCATACAAGATAGTTGGGCTTCCCAGGTGGCACTAGTGGTGAAGAACCTGCCTGCCAATGCAGGAGACATAAGAGATGCAGGTTTGATCCCTGGGTCGGGAAGATCCCCTGGAAGAGGGCACGACAACCCACTCCAGGATTCTTGCCTGGAGAATCCCATGGACAGAGGAGCCTGGCGGGCTGCAGTCCATGGGGTCACTAAGAGTCTGACAGGACTGAAGGGACTTGGCATGAATGCACAATGTAATAAGCGATTAAGGCAAGGATCTTCAATGGAGTCCAAAAACACTAGGTGAACTTTTGTTGGGAAGCAATACATTCAGATGACTTATTAAGTCGAAAAGGAGAGATGATTAATTATAATAAGGGAATCTGGACAAACATTGGAACAAAGTAATCAAACTGAGCATTAGGAAAAAAGGACAAACTGGCATTTTGAGTTTCTTGATATGATTTGAGGATTACACAACAGTCAGGTAGATTTCTTGCTAAAAATGCTTAATCTGGTTCTAATCATGAGAAAATAATCAGAAAATACAGATTGTGGGACATTCCACAAAATGACTGGCCTGGACTCCTCAAAATGTTAATGTCATGAAAGACAAAAAGAGGTTGAAAGATCATTCTAGACTGAAGCAGCCTACAGAGGTAGGGCAAAGAAAATGCAATGTGTTATCATTGATTGAAAACGGATGGTGGAGCTATAAATGACATTTTGGGATAACTGTGGATGAAATAAAACTGCCTATATATTAGATAGGGCTCCCCAGGTGGCTCAGCGGTAAAGAATCTGCCTCCCAATGCAGGAGATGCAGGTTTGATCCCTGGGCCAGGAGATCCCCCAGAGAAAGAAGTGGCAACCCACTCCAGTATTCTTGCCTGGGAAATCCCATGGGCAGAGGAGCCCGGCGGGCTACCGTCCACGGGGTTGCAAAAAGTTAGACACGACTTAGCAACTTAGTAAATTTAATTTACAACTTAAATTCTTGTATTTAAGACCAAGGACAACGTCTCTCCCACCACCACTCTCAACTCTGGACAGACAATGCAAATTGCCAACCTCTGATTTCAACCCCTTCAATTTGCCTAAAAGGACCACTTATCCCTTTAAAATGTCATCCCCTTAGCATTATGAGAACATCTAGCTCAGTCAAGATGTCCTCTTTCCATCACGGCACACCCTGTTTCTTGTGCAAGGATTTAGCAGCGTACATACACATCAGGGTGTTGGAAATAATTTTCCTCTCTCCCTAGGGAGATTCACAGTGTCCTCTGTCAGGATATTTTTAAAAAATGCAGAACTCTTCTCTCACATTCTGAGTGGGCTATGTCCCACATCACCAATGACTTCTCAGTTGAACCTCTTTTGTAACATAGTCTTAATTCCTTTGTAGCCCTCACAGCATTATAGTAATTGTTCAGTAAGGATGTTCTGAATGTATTGCGTTTACATTGCTTTTATCCAGTATCAATTCTCTTTTGCTGGCTGACGGCTGAATGCTCACTAAAGGCTTTTCCATATTCCCTGATTTTCCCTCCAGAATGAGTTTTCTGATGTTGAGAGAGGGATGAACTCTGGCTGAAAGCCTTTCCACATTCCTTACACTTATAGGGTTTTTCTCCAGTGTGAGTTTTCTGATGCTTTGTAAGAGATGAGCTCTGGCTGAAGGCTTTTCCACAGTCCTTACACTTGTAAGGTTTCTCTCCAGTGTGTGTTCTCTGATGACGGATAAGGGCTGAACGGTCACTGAAGGCTTTGGCACAATCGTTGCACTTGTAGGGTTTCTCCCCAGTGTGAGTTCTCTGGTGCTGAGTCAGGGCTGAGCAGTATCCAAAGGCCTTCCCACATTCGTTACACTCATAAGGCCTCTCCCCGGTATGAGTTCTCTGGTGCTGAATGAGGCCTGAGCGATCACTAAAAGCTTTTCCACACTCATTACACTTATAGGGTTTCTCTCCAGTGTGGATGACCTGATGCTGGGTAAGGAATGTGCTTTGGCTAAAGGCCTTCCCACATTCATTACACTCGTAAGGTTTCTCTCCAGTATGAATTCGCTGATGTTGAGTGAGGTATGAACTCTGATTGAAGGCCTTCCCGCATTCATTGCATTCATAAGGTTTCTCCCCAGTATGAATTATATGGTGCCTAATAAGGGCTGAGCGGTGACTGAAGGCTTTCCCACATTCATGACATCTGTAAGGTTTCTCTCCCGTGTGAATCCTCTGGTGCAGAGTCAGGTGTATACTCTGACTGAAGGCTTTACCACATTCATTACATTCATAGGGTTTTTCTCCTGTGTGAATTCGCTGATGCAAGACAAAAGCTGAGTAATAACTAAAGGCCTTCTCACACTCATTACACTTCCAAGGTTTCTTTCCTGCACAGATTTTCTCATGTTTCATTAGATCTGAATTTTGCTTCAAGTTCTTTTTAAATGAATCACGGCTATGTCGGCTCTCTCCTTGCTGTTGGACAGGTAATGACCTCCGACTAAAATTTCTTCCAAATTCATCACACTGGTAGCTTCTCTCCCCAGAAGGTTTCGTCTGAGGGCCAACCTCTTGTATTAAATGTTTCTCATGGTTTTCCTGCTGATTCTTTAAAGAATCTTCACATTCACTGGAACTTTCCTTTGGAAATCTCTCTACTAACACCCCAGGGGTTGATTCTTCTTCAGAAATGTCCTGCTCTGGGGCTACCTCCTTGCTCTCTGGTTCTGTACCCCAGTCTGAAATAAACAAAACTACAATGTTATCATTTCTTACACTGGGAGAAAAATAATTGCTGTGAAAGGAAAATAATGAAAGAAACAAAAAGTGCTTACAGGGAACAGAGGAGCTTGGAAGTTCCCACAAATAGCCTTGCAACCTTGAGTGAGCATGAGAAAAGAAAGATGACTGGGCGAAGGGGTGCAGAGGCATAAAGGGAGAGGTGAGCAGGTACTCAACAGTCCCGTGTCTAGCACGGGAGGAAATGAGAAAGAGTAATAGAACAAGACTAAACAGAGGTGACGGGGGAAACAGCAGATGACAAACATGGTCTGGTGGAGACTGGGGGGATCAGAGAGGGATGGTCTGCCAGGGACTGCCCACGGTCACAACCTTATCAGAGCATCAGGTTCTGAGAATGTCCATTGTCAGCTGACCTTACCACCAATCTTTTCTTGTTCTAGTATGTCCCAATCACTGCTAGCAGACTGGACTTCTAAAACCATACCTCTTAATACAAAAACCTTTGTTGGTTCCGCTGTCTCAGAGTGTGACACAAAATCCTAGAAGCTAGCATTCAAGGTAGTTCAGATCTACAAATTAAATTAGTAACTGAAAGGCAACTTAGCAGCTCTGATCACTCCACACTGAAAACACTGGGAAGAGTAAGCCAGAACCAAGTTTTTTCAAAAACTGAGCAATGTATGGGGAGGAGAATTTCAAACCCCTCACAGACTCAGTTTGGTCCAGACTAGGCCTCAAATTCTAGACTTCTTAGTAAGAGTTTGGGGGAGGGGATGGGGAAAGCTGCACCGCTAGCAATGTTTAAATATTCCAGGCTTAAATGGTCATCAGTATCCATTCCAACCAAGACTTCACATGACATAAATCAATACAATACAATGTTTTCAATAACATATAATCAGGGAAGTGCTGGGATTTTTAAGGACAAGTTGGTAGAAACAGGTTAAAGGCAAACGGACTTTTGGCTAAGGGGAGTGGAAGAACTGAAGCCCCAAACATTCATAGAGAACACATGGTTAGTGCAGGGTAGTCAGAGACTTGCCTGTCTGGTGTTAAGGGTTCAAGCTGAAGAGAGAAGGTACAATGACTAGGCAGGTAGATTAGCAAAGGTCTTGAGGGCAGAAGAGGAATACGGAACTGGAAGAGTTAAGTAGCTCACAGTGGGGAATCTGGCAGTAATATGCTGCCTAAGTAGACAAGGATAAGAAAATAGAATTAAAAATTAAAGAAAGTATAATTAGCTGGTGGTCTATTACAGCATCCAGTTTGACAGAAGTGATAGGCTCAAATCTTTCAAAAAGTTAGCAGGACTTAATCCTTAGTTATCATTTGCTTAGCATAGAGCCAAGGTACTGTTCTAAGCATTTCTCTTAGACTATTTCATTTGATCCTGACAGCCACCCCATGAGTTAAAGCTATTGTTATCTGCATTTTACATATTCCCCATTTTACTGTTGGGAAATCTGAGTCACAGAATGGATAATTCCCAGACGGCTTAGATGGCAAAGAATCTACCTGCCAATGCAGGAGACATGGGTTCAGTCCCTGGGTTGGAAAGATCCCCTGGAGAAGGAAATGGCAACCCACTCCAGTATACTTGTCCAGAAATCCCCCATGCACAGAGAAGCCTGGCGGGCTATAGTCCATGGGTGGCAAAAGAGCTCGATACAACCTATTGACTAAACAAACAAACGGATACTTCACCTGCTAGAGGTTAGAGTTGATAAGTAGTTCAAATTGGCTTTGAACCCAGGAAAAGTGGTTCCAAAGTCTGCACTCTTACTCACTATGCTATGCTGCCCCCATTTAGATAGACAGTAAGGCATGGTTCAAATTGGCTTTGAACCCAGGAAAAGTGGTTCCAAAGTCTGCACTCTTAACCACTATGCTATGCTGCCCCCATTTAGATAGACAGTAAGGCATGGGAAGACTCAGAGACCAATTTATGGTCACTGGTCTGAGACAAAAAGTCACCTTATCCTAAAGAGATATTAATAAAGTAGCATATATTAAAAAGCATGGTTTAGAGCCTTCCACCCAAATTATTAATAAATATTTAAGAGTTGATTTCACTTCACCTTATTTGGAGAAGAGAACTGATTTGAAAGGATGGAAAGTATTTGTTTTCCAAAAAATAAACCTATGACTTTACAACAGATCATCATCCACAGAGATACAACGAGGCCCAGGAAAATGGCACTTTAACCTTTCCTTGGGTCTAGCAAAATCAAGCATTTCTAACATGCTGTTCCCATCTGGGTTTTCTGTTCACGGTTTACAACAGTCACTCACCTGGATTAGCTGCTTTTGAGACTTTTCTTTCCAGCGTCTCCCCACTCTCCAACTGAGAAATTACATCAGGCTTGGAAATTGGAAGCCCTGTTTACAGGGAAAGAAAAAGGAGTCTCAGTGTATATGTTCAGTGTGAGTGACTTGCTTGTCAGAGAGAACAGGATAAGATAGGATTTCTCCGAAGAAGTTAGGAAGATTGGTATGGGGTCTACTTGAGTTCAGAACCAATGAATCACTTGTTTTCACCTCTCTCTATTAAAAAAATAAGCACCCATTTCCTTTTTTTTCCCCTTAGGTACAGATTTATTATTTGAATATTTGCAACTATTATTCTATACAAATTTCTTATAAAACTCTACATTCCATATTTCTAGGTCACTTAACTCTCCATTTTATGTACCATTTTCATGAAGAAATACTTCCCAAATCACAATCTGCTTGACAGTGTTTGCTGTTGTTTAGTTGCCAAGTGTCCAACTCTTTGCGACCCCACAGACTGCAGCCCACCAGGCTCCTGTGTCAATGGGATTTCCCAGGCAAGAATACTGGAGTGGGTTGTCATTTCTTCTCCACACCCATTTCTTAAGAGGTGTTTCTCCTAGAACTTTGTCTCAGCATCCTCAGTCAGGAAATAGGGAAGAAGGAGGGCTACTGCCTTGGCAAATACAGTTTTTAAAAGGTGTTCATTTCTGATTCTAGAAGTGTTAAACCTGTGTTTAGAAACAAAGAGCAGAAGATACCTGCCTTATACCAGGATTAGGAATCATTGCATCTAAGAACCTCAGAGCTCCTAGGAACTGAGGAAGCCAGGGTACCACAATGGGTAATTTCGCAGGGTGGGGGGTGGGGGTGGGAGTGCTGCTTACCGAGCAAGACCAGATTCCTAGGCTTCTCAGGCTCGCCTCCCTGCGGAGGGTTCAGCTGTTCCCACTGGGTGACAGCCTCGGCCATGTCCCTGATCATCGATCCCTGAAAACCAACCACATCAGTGCTCACCAAGGGACCTCCTACCAGAAGCCTCTGGGCAGGACTCAAGAAGATGGCATAGGAGAAGGAAGACAGGGAGAATAGGAAGGTTAGGCAAAATGACCTCTACCATTCCAACACTGATGTATTTACAACCACAGACTCGCTCCTGACCGCCATGCACCAGAATCGAATATAACCTGCAGCTGGGAAGGAACATCTTCAGGGTAAAATCTAAGGATACCAAGTTCCTAGTTTACGTATCAACAAGTTAAACGATAGAACTATAGAAATCCTTACTATTTAGACATGGGAGAGTAGAGGAAATAGAAATTAAGCACTTTCTTTATGGCAGGGTTTAAAAATACAAGAGATTCAGCAAATAGGAATTACTTTTCCCTCTAGTTTTCCTTTGACAATATAATCAGTCCAATATATTTACAAAAAAAAATTAGGATGTTTGCTACACATGTTGCAGTATATAGATTTATTTATAAAACAGCATTTTAAGCCCCAATTATTATGAGTTCCCAAAGTGTTCTTGCCATTTCTCCCCAATCAGTCTGACTACTCTGCCACCCACCCCCACCATCTACTCTCTATCCCATCTCACTCCACTCCTCCTGTATTCTCTGTGTTCCAGGCAGCTGGTGGCTGCCTGACATGTGGCCACAACTACTTCTGTCCCTTTATACACGTGGCTTCCTTTTCCTGAAAGTTCCCCCTTTGCCCCATCCTTTCAGCTGTTTTTTTAAAAAATTGTATTTATTTTTAAAATTTTTTTGCTATGCCATGTGGCATGGGGGATCTTAGTTTCCATACCAGGGATCGAACCAGTGCCCCTTGCATTGGAAGCATGGAGTCTTAACCACTGGATCACCAGGGAAGTCCCCCTTTCAGCGATTTTGATCCTACTCACACTTTGGCTTTCAGCTCAGGGAAGCCTTCCCTGACTCTCTAGGTTGTAGCACCATGGGTTTTCCCTTTTCCTGGGTTATGCACACGGTGAGAAGACTTTGTGATGAACGTCTGTCTGTCCCCATTAGACACTAATCTCCACAGCAGTGGAGACCAGGTTTAATTTGCCTCAGTGAAGCAGCGTAGTCTCTGGCACAGAGCAGGGACACTGTAAATATTTGTAACGAGTTCAAAGGAGGAACGTTTGAACAAGAATGAATAGGAACAAGTTTAAATGGGGTGTTCTATGAAAGTGTGCCATGGGGACAGAGGTGGGAGGGGAACGGAAGTTTATCAAGTGTTGAAAACACTGCAGAAGTGTTTACTTTACCTTCCCTTGACCTAGATGACAGGCAAAAAGTTTAGATTGTTCAGT